TTGTTTGATAGCATCATATCTCTTAAAGAAAAGTGAAACGTTGTGAAATGTGTCCTATGGTCAGGAAATCTGGGGATTGTCGACTGCCAGTATTTGCTAGTTCATTTAGCGTTATCCAGGGTGCACCACGAGGAGGCGAACTAGCTTTGCACCCCTCCAGAATCAAGACAATATGGGAGAAAAATAAAGCTAAGAAGAAAATACGGGAGACAAATAATGAAATGGAGATATGATGCATTGGGAAAATTATTTAAAAAACTATTTACTTTATGAAAATAAATTAAAAAAACTATATTCTATACAAGTCATAAAAATGGCGAAATATATCTTAGAAGAGTCTCTGAAGAATGACATAAAAAATGTATACAAATATATATAAAAAGTTAGAGAAATACAACCAATGGAAGAGTTAATAGGATTGATAACTGATGGCATCCCCATAATGAAGAAAATATGGGAGACAAATAGAGAAAGAGAAGATGAATTGAAAAAATGGCATGAAAATGAAGGATAAATTGGGTGAAAATTGCATAAAAATAAACAAATATATAAGTCAGTCGTTAGAAGTGCATAATATATAGAATTGATGAATAATATTCCAATAATAAAGAAAACATGGCAGACAAAAATAGAACGAGGTAGGCCAAAAGCAAGAAGTATTAGATGATAATACAAAATAGAGAAGGATGTGGTCAATAGAAAAACTGACAAAAAGTAATGCTTAGCCACCTCCAAAGAATATCTAGTCAAAATTTGACTCAAGCACATAAAGAAAAATCCTCCAGAGCATATAAGTTCGCCCCCCTTCATCAGATTTGACCCTTGGCCGACGATTAAGCCTCACCAGTCAGTTCCCATCCCAGCTAAGCAGCCTCGTCTCGGGTCACCCTCGTCACCCATCGAGCGGACAACCACCGGAACCCCCTACAGGCGGACCCCCCTCATCATCTTCAATGTGTCCGATATCCCGCCCCCTGCCTCTTCGAGGGTCACGGAATACGTGCACGAAGAAGTCTCGGAGCTCGGGTGCCAGGTCGTATCCGGCCGAAGCCTCTAGCGTTAGAACACCTAGCTCGTAAACCAGAGGGTGGTGACTCCCTTGGGTACCTTTGCATGCTACATAGGTCATCGATGCCCGAACATCAGGGTTAGGGGGCGACCCGGGTCTCCTCCTCTTAGGGGAGGCTAGCTATGATGCTCTGGAGTCGATGTTACTCAGGAAAATGTATTGGAAAAAGATGCTAGGAAAAATAGAAATGACATCATCTGTGGCCGAGTAAGGCTTTTTGAATAAATGGCGAATGAGCAAAAAATTGATGGAAAATTAGTCCTTATTATTGTTTTTTAATTATATTTATACACAGGGAAACCAAACCAACAAAATCCGTAAAATTATGGCAATTCATGGCATATTGTTTGAGAAAAATGAGATGAACAGGAATCCATCAAAACTATCTCTGTAGAAGAAACTACACAACCAAAAAAGTTTTAGAAAAATAACTCAATAAAAAAATAATACAAAAAAGACTTATAAAAATACAGTCAATGGAATCGAAAAATGATATTCTTCACAAAATGGAGGAAATATGGCAGTCAAGCTATTATAAAGAAACCAAAGTAAACCAAAAACCACATGAAGTAAAATTCTAAGTACATGGTATTCTATTAAGAAGAAAGAAGAAATAGAAGTGACCAAAAGCCAAAAATTGGCCTAAGTAAAAAATAGATGGTCTGAAATTGTCAATGATAATAAGGAACCATTAAAATATATCTCAGAGACTCAACAGAAAATTTTCCTTCCTTAATGAAATGTAAAAATTAAGAAATCCACTGATATGATCGAACATTAAAAACCAGTAAAAATTTATTTAGCCAAAAGGAATAAAATTTTAGATATACTTATAAGTCCTGATGCATTGTTGATAATATTAATCAAAAGAATAAATGTACTGCCCTGGAACTGTAAGCATCCAACGATCTGTTGTGGAAAATCTGTAAAAAAAATAAATAGTGTTACGTTTTATTATAATTTATTAATTAGGCATGCTATAATAATAATTGTTTTTTTTTGTTTCATATTAATACTAAATATAACCTAAAAATATTGTTAGCCAGTTAATAAATTTATTAAAATTGTTTTATAATAAACTTACTTTTCACTGGATAACGTAAAACCAATCTTGTTAACTAGAATGATAGCCAAACATCCGAATTATATAAGGGGTTACCAAGCAGTGGGATTCTGTAAGCTCGGTGCAAAAAATTTTCGGTCCAGCCTTTGCTATTTGTATACGATTGATGAGTCATTAGACAGGAAATATGTTTACAGGTCTCTTCATTTAAATGGTCTTTGCAGGATGGGTGTGTATTATTAATAACACTCCTAAAAAAGAAAATTATAATTAAAGCATTATATTAAAACACAGCAAATTTGACTAACATATACGACAGCGTATAAGTACTAAAAATGTAATTGTGGAGAATGGAGGCAACTTTGGGTATACTAACACTGATTTATTCTAAAGACGTAGAAAAGTACGAACAAACACCTAAAAAATTATCTTAAAAAGTACATTCAGGCTGAGGAGAGCGTCGAACGTCGGAATAAAAAACAAAAAAACATCGTTACCAAAAAAAAATGGCCGAAAAAATAAGGAATATTTCCACCATATTTCTAAGTATGAAGCAAAATATTCTAAGTAACTTCATTTTTATTATACAATAGAGACATCAAGTAATGTATCTATATATACCCGATTTTGAAAAGAAAAATGATGAAAATTAGAAAAATATATGATGATGTAATTGAAATATTTCAAAGTGAAAAAATCTATAGAAAACAGGCAAAATAATGGGTACTTACATTTTCAGGACATTAAACAAGCCCTAAGAAACAGAATAAACTCAAATAGTGCACAGAAAACTCACTTTTTCTATCAAAAAATCAGAAAAATTTTAAGACCGACATAACGACAAAACACATCAGCAAATCTGACTATCATAGACTAACCACAGATTAGAATACTAGAACAGAAAAAGTTTTTTTTTAATCTAAATATGAATCTAAAAGCAGTTAAAAGTATTATTATCCTTGTTTATATAATGTAATTGTGGAGAATGGAGGCACCTTTGGGTATACTAACACCAGAGACTAACACCCATAACTAACACCTTTGACTAACACTGATTTATTCTAGAAAAGTAGGAACAAACACCTAAAAAATTATCTTTAGGAATAAAAAACAAAAAAACATCTTTACCAAAATGGCCGAAAAAATAAGGAATATTTCTAAGTATGAAGCAAAATATTCTAAGTAACTTCATTTTTATTATACAATATATGTACACAATAGAGACATCAAGGAATGTATCTATATTTCCATATACCCGATTTTGAAAAGAAAAATGATGAAAATTAGGAAAATATATGGTGATGTAATTGAAATACTTCAAAGTGAAAAAACCTATAGAAAACAGGCAAAATAATGGGTACTTACATTTTCAGGACATTAAACAAGCCTTAAGAAACAGAATAAACTCAAATAGTGCACAGAAAAATCACTTTTTCTATCAAAAAATCAGAAAAATTTTAAGACCGACATAACCAATTGCAGTTAACAACGTAAAATGTCGGACGTCAACGTTGTCAGATTGAACACATGTAAAACAGAAGTCATTTTTTGCTTCACGATTAATACACAGCTAAAGGAAAATATGTTATTTATTCTACTGAATGACAGTTTCTATTAAATTTCTATTAGATTTATCATGATTTCGTAACGGTTCAATTCATTTTAGACTTACAAAAATATCGATTTAGATCAGTTTCAGGATTTCGCTAATATCTCGGCAACCTTGGAAATACTTTAGTTCAAAATTTTCTCACTTTTTTCACAATGGCGCCACTAGCGTTCTTCTTCTTTTTTGTATTTCAGGTCTTAACATACCGGAACCACAGATCTGATATATATTTTCTCTTCTTTAATTTAACATGGCTTGAACTCATACAGGTCATCAAGCCAGTATCCAGAAAAAAAATAATCAAAAGAAAAGAGTTCAAATTGTAATCTATGGTTAATTATTAGACAAAGACAACAATAAAAATAAACAAGTACCGAAAGACTCATAGAATTAAGAAATAAAAGAAATACTCATCGAGTTAATAAATAAAAGAAATACTCCTATCAGAAACACGAGATAACGAAAATGTTTTTAGTTTACAACAGTTTTACAACCTCTTTACGAGCTAAAGAATCTGTATGAAAGTAAATAAAATTAATGCCTTTTACATTCACTATTATACACTATATCCTCGTACATTATAAACATATATTCCCATGTATTTTGATCCCTGACGCCGTTTTTTTATCACGTGTTACATTTTACAGATGAAAAAAAAAAGGTTAGATGGGTATTTTTGTTCGTGTTTAGAGTTTAGATACACCGCATAATCCAGAAGAAGACTGGCGTCATGGTAGCCTTTGAATTACTAAAAATTGTCGTAAATTAATATTTCTCTAGGGAAAAAAGGAGTTTTGACAAAAATTATAATAGAAAATGCCATTGCGAGTCTGTTTTTTGGATTGTATGTTACATTTTTGTAGATTTAAAGGCTATGAAGTCATATAAGTAGATGGAGGTAATAAATAAAACAAATAAACTATTTATTTATAACATTTATTTAAAAAAACCTTGGATGGAATAAACGACTTTACAGCTAATGTAAAATTAGGATATGAAAATGTAAAACTCACAAAAATAATTATTATACAATTTTTTTGACCTACTTATATATAATAGAAATTTTACACATTTTAACAAAAATAAAATGTATACATAGGCGTTCAGCATCTCTAAAAATATACATACCTATGAAAATAGTAAAATAAACTATTAAAAATATAGTTTTTTGTGATATATTATACGAAAAAAATATAGATATTTGTTTAAAATCATAACTAAATTTTAAATCTAAGTCAACAAACAAAATAAAGGTAGCCTTTTTTAAAATAGATTTCCTAAAAATAAATTATCTAGATATCTAGAGAGAATAAGGATGGGTTTTAATTATTCTAGGGAAGCAGTCAGTGTTTTTTTTTCCTGTATCATAGTCAAAGAAAAGCCGCGAAAAGTCAAGAGAATACAGAAAAAAATCTGTCATATTTTTTTGAGACCTTCAACGTCAAAGTTTATTTTACTTTTTGTTTTCTCAGATTTTTGTTGGTGTTTTGGTCGACTTCAGGTAAGTCAGATTCTTCACTTTTCTTTGCTGAAAATAAAGATTTTTATATATGAAATGCCCAAACACCTTTAAAAAGGTAAAAAATACTTCTTTTATGTTAAAAAAATGTTAAAATACGTTATTAAAGGATCGACTCTTCTGAAATTATCATTGATCGTAATTTCAAAGGCCACCGTGACGCCGACTATCCTCAAAACTATATTAAAAAAAATTGTTTTAAGCACGTTACATTCTTTTTTCGTAGATAAATACCATTTTTTGAGTCACATTTAAAAAAAAACTTTCTGAAAAAAAAACAGTGTCATAGTAGCACCTTAACAATGAAAATCGATCATATCTGTCCGGTCGTACCATATATTTGATGAAATGTTATGTCAGTTCTGTTTTTAATAACACAAAAAGAGTTAGAGCCCATTTGAAATTATATTCGATAGTCATTTAAAGGCTACCGTGACGCCATTTTTTTCTCGATCGAATGCTACATTTAAAATAAAAGAGATAACCTCTAAAATATGTATAGAAAAAATTCTTTCAAGCATGTTACAGAATCTTTTTCACAGGTACAAACCATTCAAGAAATTGTAAAAAACTGTATTACTGAGAAAAAAAAAACAGCATCATAGTAGCCTTAGAAATTAAAATCGATGGTATCTGTACCCTATATTTCAGAAAATTTTAAGTCAATTTTTAGTAAATAATACATAAAGTGGCTAGCCCATCTGAAATTACCTTCGATCGTCATTTCAAAGGCTACCGTGACGCCGTTTCTTTTATATCGAATGCTATATATGTATTTAAAATTAACGGGATAACCTCTAAAATATATAAAAAGACTGTTTCAGTGTGTTACATTTTTTAATCAAAATTTTAAAAAACTATTACTGAAAAAATAGAAATAAAAAACAGCATCGTAGTAGCCTTAGAAATTATTCGATGACATCTGTACCCTGTATTTGAGAAAATTTTAAGTCAATTTTTTCATAAATAATATATAAAGTGGCCAGCTCATCTGATATTATCTTCGATCGTCATTTTTAAGGCTACCATGACGCCGATTTTTTTTCCTCGATAGTACATATATAAAAAAATGTTTTAAGCGCATTACAGAATTTTTTTTATATAGATAAAAGCCATTTTTTTACTGACCAAAGACATTTTAGACAATATCACTATAAAAAAAAAAGATATCACCTACCTTTCTTTGATTTTTCCTTCTTCTGCGCCCTGGGTTTTGGCACGGTTGTCGCACTAACGCTTTCCTTAGATCTACTGATTTCCTGACTGAACACCTTGAAGATCAGATAGGTCTGGAGCACAATGATTCCAGCCAAAACCGAGAATCTTATGAGCGGTACGTTGAACTGGCCGTTTTGGATGTCCAGGACTTGGTTCTCGCGCAATGAGAGTCCGTACCAGAGCGTCAGCACAGCAATTATGGTACTACCCAGGCAGGCTACAATTTGGACTACTGTGGAGGCCAATCTAGTCACTGAAAAGTAATATTTTTCATTATTTTAATCATTATTTTGAGATATCACTTTTGTTTACCTTTAGTAAACTTTTCTTCTTTGTCTACTGTTTGTAACAATTGAGCACCATGATATACCAACTGAGCTGTGTGATTGAGTACCAATAAAACCACCAATAAACGGTTAAAGCTATATAACAAATAATATATAAAAATTCATGAAATACTAGAACACACTTTCAAAGACTTACTTCAAAACATAGGGAATCAAAACTAAAACAAAACCAGCTAAACTCAAGGTACCCTTCTTAGTCCACTCTTCTTTCTTCACTTTTTGGAAATACAACTCAGGTAACTCATGAAGACTATACGCCAGCTGAACTATGATGTACATTTTGAACAAAAAGAACATCGGAGTTGGATATTCTGACCATATTCTACCAAAATCTGGGATCAGGTGCTCTCTGAGAGCTACAGAAAGTTTAAAAATAAATTAGCATGAAAAATAAAGTGTTTTTGTAAGGTTTTCTTACCAATATCAAGTCCCCAACCAGCTGAAAGAAGGTAGAACGCTGATAACTGTCCACTGGTAGAGAAAATTGCTAGTTTAGACTTGGATAAATGAAGTTTCTTCGATATTTTCTAAATAAATTAAGATTTACCATGAATAAATCGTTCAAATCGATAGAAATTTTAATACTTACATCTAGGACATACTCTTGAAGGATAGCGTGTACGATAATACAAATTAAACTATAAAAGAACACTGCTGCAGTGTCTTTGAAACCTGGTAAGTACAATGGTATATCACCATGGTCTCCGGTAACGTTATGGTGAAGGGTAATAAACACTGAAGCCAATGGTGTTGTCGCCTAAAAAAATTAAGCAAGAGTTAGTTCTAAACATATGTTGACTGAATTTCTGTATAAAATTATAATTTAACAGCATAGAGGAGTGAATAAACTAGTTGTAATAACGTAGGTTTCCTTGTAATATGAAAATAAATAGTTTTAAACGAAGAAAATAGTTTTTTAGAGAAAATATAAACAAATCATGTCGAGGTGTTCTAAAATTATTCTCTGGAGGATAACTAAATAAAAGTATTATTAAATTAAGTTATAGAGAGGAACTAAACAAGAGATATAATCAAAATATACTTACTTGTACCATAAGGCCTACGACAAAAACCATAGCCACACAAGAAACAATATCTGCATGATTTTGTATAACAAATTCATGACTTAAAATTGGAGGATTCTTATTCGATGATTTTCGCACTGGTTTAACCATTTTCTCTGTGTGTATCTACGATAAGAGCTTAGCGAAGATTGCTGCCTTATGTTTGGCCAAATGAAGAAATACACATCTACAAGATTTTTACGATATTTTGACAAGAAAAACCGCAAATCTTGCCACGAAGAGGACACGTCAACTCACAGTACAACGTTGTCAATGTTTAAGAAATTTAAACAATTTAGTTTTGCTGTATTGTTGCTGGAATAATTAGACAAAAAATTTAAAATTTGTTTAAAATACTGAGAGCATATCCTAATAAATAAGATACAGAATTAATAATGAATTTTGAATTAATATTTTTTTTATATTTTAATATGGCAACAATGTATAATATTATACGTCTCCATCTAGTTGAATACTATAAAATTACCTTTTTTTAAATTACAGAAATCTATGGAGAAACTAACATTTTAAGGTTCTAGTTTGTACAAAAAGTATAGATGACACTAGCAGCAAATTTTTTTTTGATTTTTTTAAATTTAAATCATGATTTACTTCAATTTAATGAAAGAGCGATTTAATAATAAAATCTGACTGTTTTTGGGTGTCTATTATTAAGGTTGGACGTAAATATTTATGAGTTGTGACTAAGAACTTTCTATTTCGCACTTATGATTAACTGGTGAATAATTTTCATTCAAAAATTGCAGTGATTCAAGGTGTCTCGAACACGATGCCAAATATTGGAAATAGAAAATTAAGTATTGAAATATTGGACTAAATATAAATTTTGTTTTATGTTTAAATGACTGATAAAAAATAAATAATTCTAGTTTTACTAGAATTATTTATATATTTTTCTAGACTTATTTGTTGGTAATAAAAAAGATTTTTTTAATTCTAGACTATGGCAGTTATAGAAAAAGCTACTCAAGACAAGATCCGCGCTTTATGTGACCAAAGCTTTCAGTCTCCCGCGTCGTTCGTACTAGTAGTACGCGTTTGTAACATTGTCTCCGCTCCTAATCAAGACCAGTACCACCAAAACACGTTTAAATTCACGTTGGAGCACCATATTTTGACTGGAAGTTATAATGAAGAATAACATTAAAAACCAGGTAAATCTCTTTCAGTTGCTGCAAAATTTCGTTGTAATTGAGTTATTTTAAGTAATAAATAGAATTAAAAGAAAATAATATCTTTTTAATTTATTTAAACGTAAATTCAAGCGTATATTTGTATATAAATGTTTAAAATTATTATGTTTTCTATAAATAAACATGAAATAAAAAAGTCTTAATTAAATTTTGCTATACTATAATAAATTTGGCACTTATAGATGTTTACAAAATTTTGTAATTAAAAAATAATTATTTTAGTTAAGCTGTTTTCCTTTGCAATGTCACTCAGGGCAACTAGGCAATGTTTATCTTCAGTATTTATTATTATATTATCTACATTTTAACATTATTAATGGTCTTGCTGATATCTCTGAATAAGGCTATTTCAATAGAGTATACAGGGTGTAAACTGCATGAAAAGATATAGTGAATATTGTTGCAGATAGATTTGTAAAATATAAAAATATCTCATTCAATTAGTTGGAAGGCTTCTTTGTCTTTATTTTTTTTTAACATATATGTAGAACGATGCAAATTAATTCTCGTTCATAACGAAATAAAATAATTATTCAAAACGCTGCAGTTTCTATGTTAATTTTGTTGTATTTTTTATTTTAGTTGGATACTGACGGTTATGTAGTCTTAGAAGACTTTTTGACACCTGCAGAGGTAGAAGCCTTGAAGAAACAGGCAGAAATCCTCACTAATGCAATGCCAGAACAGTCAGAAAGAACAATTTTCAGTACCAAAGACTCAGAAAATCAACAAGTAAGTAATACCAAAATACCAAAGAATATTTTAATACCCTAATAATATTCTTCGGTAATACCATAATACCGTATGATCGAAAAAAAAACGGCGTCGAGATGGCTCGGAAAAGACAATCAATGATAATTTTGGCGAGGTCAATATCTCTATAGGCGTCATTTACTAAAACTGACATAGAACTTAAGAAAAATTAAGATTAATTATAGCAAAATGAACCAAGTCCAATAAATAAATGACGTATAGGGCTTGACATCGTCAAAATTATCATCGATTGTCATTCCCCAGCCATTTGACGCCGTTTTTTTAATTCGTAGGGATTATTTTATATTATTTTTAGAACAAAAACAAATATTTCTTGGACAGTGCGGACAAAATCAGTTATTTTTTCGAAGCAGGAGCACTAGATTCTGATGGCAAACTCACTGTCGACCCTTTAGTGTCCTTGAACAAGATAGGGCATGCCCTTCACGAACTAGACCCCGTATTCAGGGCTGTGAGCCTCAGTGAAAAAGTGAAGGAATGTGCCTTCCAGTTGGGTTTTGAAGACCCAGCCATTCCCCAGAGCATGTATATTTTCAAAAACCCCGGTATAGGCAGCGAAGGTAAAAAAAAATAATGTTTAGTGTCTTATTTATTTATAAATTTCTGTATATTATACAGGATGTCCAAAAAATGCAATGCCAAATTTCAGGGAGCGATTTCTTATCAAAAAGTTTGGAAAAAATTTTCTATAAAAAAATTGTCGTCGATTTTTTATACTTAATTATTTAAATTTTTTAGTCGTACCCCACCAAGATGCATGGTACTTACACACGGATCCAATGACAGTAGTTGGGTTCTGGTTCGCTCTTGAGGATGCAACCATCGAAAATGGGTGCTTGTGGTTCTCTAAAGGGTCACATAAAAGCGGTGTGCATAGAAGATACATCAGAAATCCCGATAAAAACTCTGAAGAATTTTTGATTTATAATGCTCCAGCTCCATTTTACCAGAAAAGTAGTTTTACAGCAGTACCTGTTCGTAAAGGTACGTCGTTATTTAACTAAATATATATAATAACAACTTGTAAGATTTAAAGCTTCCTTTTCGAGATACAGGGTGTAAATTAAGATATTTGAAAAACTATTTAATCGATTTTGATATAACTTGACCCGTTTATAATACTTACTACGGGACTTAATTTGATGTAATTAGATTTAAGTTTAATGGCCAGGGGCGGCTGTGGGGCATCATTGTTAAATTATTTTAAAGGAAAAAATAGGCACGCCACTGGTTTTTTAGAAGTTTAATATTATTTTTGGATTTAGTAATTAAAAATATAATTTTTTTGTCTCCTGGCTTTTTTGTCTATCTTGCTTACTTCTTGCGAAAAAAATTAAATTCTAATTGGTAACTAATATTATAATTGGTATTCTAATGGTAACCTGTATCTCGAAAAGGAAGCTTTAAATCTTACAAGTTGATATGAACTTTTTGTTTTATTTTTGCAAGTTCTATCGTCTATTAAATTTTCCCCTGTATACTATAGAGATACCCTGTATACTATATAATATATACTGTTGCATTACAAAAAAAAACTACTGTGATGCGTAACTTTTACATCAGGTAGTACTACACATACATATATATTCGGTCATCATCTACAACTATATATTATATATACAGGGTGTTTCAAAACAAATGCCAAAAACTTCAGGGGCTGATTCCTTGTTCAAAATAAAGGGTAGTTTGCTTCATAAACGTTGGGTCAAAAGTCAACCATTAGGGAGATATCGCGGTACAAAGATGGCGGAAAAATAATGTTTTTATTTTTTATCTTGAAAACGAAAAGAGATAGACTAATGAAATTTTTTGGAAGCATTACTGTTATGAAAACACACTTTCTGGTAATTTTTTCACTTTTTTAAAATAAGTGGAAGGGGTTGAAATAAACTACCCTTATCATTCTTGTTAACGAAATTTAAATAAAAATCTTATCAAATACATGCAAAAAAAAAATTTGGATAGTTTAGTTTGTTTAGACACTTTTTTATCTCTTGTGTTTTTTTGGTAAAACTCACCGATTTGAAATTAAAAAATAAAATGTAAAGCATTACAATCATGTCAGGACAAAAAACATTTTTGGATAAGGAATCTAGTAGGCTGCTGTCAAACAGTTTTATTTCGTAATAGTATCGTTACATTTTCTTCTGAACGATAACCTCTTGAAAATTATTTACCAAACAATTTTTAATTCTGTTTTTTAATTCATGAAAGTACAAAATAATAAAAAAAGTACATATTAAAAAATAAAAATGTTTTTTGTCCTGACATGGGGTAATGCTTTACATTTTATTTTTTAATTTCAAATCGGTGAGTTTTATCAAAAAAACACAAGAGATAAAAAAGTTTCTAAACAAACTAAACTATCCAAATTATTTTTTTTGCATGTGTTTGATAAGATTTTTCTTTAAATTTCGTTAACAAGTATAATAGGGGTAGTTTATTTCAACCCCTTCCACTCATTTTAAAAAAGTGAGAAAATTACCAGAAAGTGTGTTTTCATAACAGTAATGCTTCCATAAAATTTCATTAGTCTATCTCTTTTCGCTTTCAAGATAAAAAATTAAAAAATTATTTTTCCGCCATCTTTGTACCGCGATATCTCCCTAATGGTTGACTTTTGACCCAACGTTTATGAAGCAAACTACCCGTTATTTTGAACAAGGAATCAGCCCCTGAAGTTTTTCGCATTTGTTTTAAAACATCCTATATATTTTAAAATGGTCCAAATAACCTACATATATATACTCCCAAAATTTCAGTTCAATACAAACTGTCGTTCTCATTTCAAATTCTGCAGCGTATGAGAGGCGCCACCCTGTATAGACTTACATTTTTATAAAAAAAAATAAAGAGTTTGGTTTATTATAAAATCTTTATTTAAAACAATCAAATTTAAACAATAATAAATAAGTTAATATTACACATTCTTTAAATATATTCCTATTCTTACAATTAGACAAATAATTTAGATCAACACACACTACGTACTGTATAATATACATTCCTATATCAACAATCACGGGATATTGAACAAAATCAATATTAGTCTTTGTTAGTATTCCCTTTGCTAATATTAGTATTGTTCGCCTATGGTAAACATATCAATCAATCATACATTTAAGTTATTGTTTTAACCATATTGTCAAACAACACATAATGGATCTATTTAATTTTTTCAAAAGAAAATCATAAATTCTGAGAAAAATTTAATTTTTCTTTCAACTAAGTCATTGTTTCCTGATAAAAATGATTATAATACATTTTTATCTCTATTTTTAGGTACTTTAGTCCTAATCCATGGACAGGTAGTACATCTCAGCGAAATAAATAAATCGAAAAAATCGAGACATGCCTATACATTTCATGTGATTGAACAGAAAAATACAAAATACTCTGAAGAAAATTGGTTACAGTATCCTGAAGGCAAATCATTCTTAAGCTTATATAGAAATTGAAGAAATTATAAAATATATGAAAAAATAATATGATTTTTCTATATTTTTTACTTTGATTTAATTGTATAATTTTTGATTTTTATTTAAAGATTTAATAAAGTATTTTTAAAGACATCCTTAAAATTTATATAGCATTATTAATTAAACAGTAAAGAAATACTGTATTTTGTATAAATAATAACTGACTATAACCCAAAAATCTGCCGCCCATGAATCCGACAACAGTGCCAAAAAATGCGTTCTTCTACCATCGTCATTCAAATCTTCAGAATAAAACCATCTGACTGGGAAATGGTTGTCAGTCATTTCATGACCTATATACAGGATGATCGCGTTCATTCCAGCAAAAAGAAGTGGTTTTCCTGTCCACCACTTCTTTACATCGATCAAAAAATAGAAAATGCTCAATAAAATGAAGGCAAAACAGCTGGTTACGAATACGAAGGATATAGACCTAAAAAAATAATGATTTTTAATAAAATCCCAGAGAATTTCACGATTTTTTAGAGCTCATCTATGTTGACTTATTTCTTTTAGGTATAAATTCACGTACCACAGATTTTTATTCACAGGAATTAATCCGTCTTCTTTAGAAAACCCACAAAGAACTCCTCCAAGAACACCCAGTACAACAGACCATACGACCCATCTCAAAATTCTCTGGTAGTGAGATTTGATCACAAGAAGCGTTACTCCAGCTTGAACGCCAAGCATCACATGAAATATGGTGGTCAGGCAACCAACGATACCCTCGGGATCGAAAGGTTTTGCTTCGTAAACGGTATAGATTGTTGGTTTTTGGTATACGTGGTTGCCTAAAATCAGGCGGTCTATATAGCCTGTTGCTCCACCGATACAGTGTATGAAAGATGCGTTTTTGTGAAGTCCTCCTGGGCCCATATATCCTCTAAATATCAATATTGGTTATGTAATAGTTAGTTTATTTGTTATACATACTTTGGGCAATTTGATTCAGATACAGTGAATATTAGAACAGTATGAACAATCAGGATTACGAGGCATATTAACCAACCTTTCCAGATTTTTAATATGTCAGCCATTTCTCTTTGAATCTATATAAAAATGAAAAAAAATGCATTTTTGTGCAAATGTGATGAAACTGTATTACGGAAACTTCAGCAGCATATATTCTGCAATTGAAAATATGTAAAAAAATTCGTATAAATGTTTGTCCTAAAATGCTTAGTTAGTAAAATGCTTGTTCAAATTCCCTATGTCAATTATTTGTAAAAAATCGAAATAGAAATGAAACTTCTACACCCTGAATCTCCGAAACTATAAGCATTTTAGGACATACATTTATACGAAGTTTTTTACTTATTTTTACCTGCAGAATATGCTGTTGAAGTTTCCGGAATGCAGTTCGGACCACCCTATATAGTTAGAGTATAAAAATTATACCTATACTTACCCATAACTTATGCTCAGTTTTTTCATTCAAATTCCTGTCCATTGTAAGAATACATATAGTCGTTACAATAAAATAACAAAGCCCAAACCTTTGCAAAACTCCAAATATTCTTATGTAGTATACATCACAGCCAGAGTTCAGGAATATACCAATCAAAAACAGTTTAACAGATCTCTAAAAATTGTTTTATCTCAATTTTACTCAACAAATAATAGTAAAAACAAAGTACCTTGGCTACATTTATGATGAGATCTTTATTAGAAATGTTCCTTTTAAAACTGGATACTAAGGATATGGGGATACATGTGCCCATGATCCACATAAACCACGGAAATACCAAGTCTGCTACGTGTAGGCCATTCCAAATAGCGTGGTGAACGAATTGGTAGCCTCCATTACCAAAATTTGCAAAGATCATTATTACAATACTTATTCTACAAGAGATCAAATAAAAATGATCTAGTTTTGAAGTCCCTTTATGGTATTAAATTAACAATATTCTTACCCTCTGAAGGCATCTATAGACATAACCCTTTCTTTTTTAGGTGCTTCTTCGTTTGATCCTCCATCAACTTGAGATTCTTTGTTTCTTTTCCATTTATTGTAAAACAAAAATAAATAATAAACGCTACCAAAAACAAGAATGTGCAACAAAAGTACAGTAATAATAGCTAAAATATTAAAAAATCAATAAAATATTCATCATTTTATGTGTATAAAACTTACGGGAATAAGCATTGACAGGTTCTTTGATAGTCTCGACACTGCAGGAACTTGTATTTTGAATTTTAATGTTATATATTCCAAATTGTTCAAAATTTGGATCTAAATCACATATGACACCTCTGGATATGTCTTTATAGGAATATTCGTTCTGTTCAGTGCTTAATCTAAGTTTTCTTCCGGTTTCCAGGATTTCTGTGGTGGATTTATCCAGAAATGTATAAGGACACTAAAATATTACAGTTAAGGGTTGGAACCTTTGGTGTTACACAGCAAAATAAAAACACTAAATCACCACAATACACCAAAACACTTTTACTTTTACACTGAACGCGCGTTTCGCTAACCATGTTAGCATCATCAGCAGATGATTATAAACTAAAGTACAATCTACAAGTTGAGCGTTTATATACTCGCCCAGTGGGCACCGAGTGGGCGTGGCAAAATCTAGCCAACCGAGTCAGAGCCTACTGAGCGTAACAGTTAGATTACCGCCACTAGAGTAGTAGGAACAACGAACTTGAAGGAATTGAACCGTTGTCTCTGTTTGTACTATCTTTACATTTATTAATTCTGATGCTTTCATATGCATCTAATTGCCTGTAATTTGAGACTTGTTTAATTAATTTTAAATTATTAAGATCAATACAATGTTCTAATTAATTAAACAAGTCTCAAATTACAGGCAATTAGATGCATATGAAAGCATCAGAATTAATAAATGTAAAGATAGTATGAATAGAGACAACGGTCCAATTCCTTCAAGTTCTTTGTTCCTACTACTCTAGTGGCGGAAATCTAACTGTTACGCTCAGTGGGCTCTGACTCGGTTGGCTAGATTTTGTCACGCCCACTCGGTGCCCACTGGGCGAGTATATAAATGCTCAACTTGTAGATTGTACTTTAGTTTATAATCATCTGCTAATGATGCTAACATGGTTAGCGAAACGCGCGTCCAGTGTAAAAGTAAAAGTGTTTTGGTGTATTGTGGTGATTTAGTGTTTTTATTTTGATACTAAAATATACATTATTATACAATTTTTTTAACAAAACGAGTCAAGATAATAAATATAAAATAATGAAGCGTAAAGAATGTTTTTCTTACCTCTACACATTCTGGATTGAGACTGTATATGTAAACTTCATTCAAATCTATTTCACTATTTTCTGTAGTGACCATAAAATAGTGTTGGTCCAGTTTCAAGTTATCCATATCGAAAATTTTGTCCTGAAATTTCACGAACCCATCCCCAGTGTAATCGTCGATGAAATCCCAAGTCATTTTTGAATATTTTTGCCTGAAAACCTATAAAAAAGAAGCTCAAATAATTATTGAGATTTAAAGGTTTTCATATAGAATTACATAGTTTAATGAAAATATACGTTTTATAAAATTCTTTTCTATAAATTTTCTAAAAATTATTATTTTTTACTAACTTATTCAAGATTAAATCATTTTGAGATATATAAAGTACAAATTATTATAGTAAATAAAGACTTACCTATATTAATCAGAAACAATACCCGAGTGAAAGTAAATTACAATAACTTTCCACCACTGAATACACAACAACACTATCAAGTACTATACTAACAAATAATAATATCACAGATATCAGATTTTGTTTTGTTGTATCTATAAAATGCGTTAAAGCAATACACAAATCGCGATTTTTTTTATCTAAACATTGTTATTATAATAATTATTAGTAGAGTATATAAAGACTGATCGTACGGTACTGACATTGGATGCACAGTAATACCGTATGTTACGCTTTAAGTGGCAAAAATAAAAGTGCTTGTTTTGAATAAAGTGGTTTATTACAATGGCAGGGACATTGATACTCGAAGAGCAAGATAAAATTTCGAAACTATATACAGTGTGTCCCAATATTCGGTGGATATAAAACTACTAATTATTTTTGTACTTTGGAAAAAACTGTTCATTAAAATGTTGTATCCTATATGTTATAGGGCTTGTTTCTCTCTACAATTTCCTGTCTCACAATGTACCGTTTGTGTCGGGGAAGGGATTATAGTTTCATAGTTGTCGATTTTTGAAAGAAATCAGTACATGTATATTGTTTCGTAAATTTTTCATTTTATTGATTTTATGGAAAGCACTGTTCATTAAAATGTTGTATCCTATGTTATAGGGCTTGTTTCTCTCTACAATTTCCTGTTGCACAATGTACCGTTTGTGTCCGGGAAGGGTTCATAGTTTCATAGTTGTCGATTTTCGAAAGAAGTCAGTACATGTATATTATTTAGTATATTTTTCATTTTATTGATTTTATGGAAAGAACTGTTCATTAAAATGTTGGATCCTATGTTATAGGGCTTGTTTCTCTCTACAATTTCCTGTCTCACAATGTACCGTTTGTGTCCAGGAAGGGTTCATAGTTTCATAGATGTCGATTTTCGAAAGAAATCAGTACATGTATATTATTTCGTAAATTTTTCATTTTATTGATTTTATGGAAAGCACTGTTCATTAAAATGTTGTATCCTATGTTATATGGCTTGTTTCTCTCTACAATTTCCTGTCTCACAATGTACCGTTTGTGTTCGGGAAGGGTTCATAGTTTCATAGTTGTCGATTTTCGAAAGAAATCAGTACATGTATATTATTTCGTATATTTTTCATTTTATTGATTTTATGGAAAGCACTGTTCATTAAAATGTATCCTATGTTATAGGGCTTGTTTCTCTCTACAATTTCCTGTCTCACAATGTACCGTTTGTGTCCAGGAAGGGTTCATAGTTTCATAGATGTCGATTTTCGAAAGAAATCAGTACATGTATATTATTTCGTATATTTTTCATTTTATTGATTTTATGGAAAGCATTATTCATTAAAATGTTGTATCCTATGTTATAGGATATATTCTCTCTACAATTTCCTGTTGCACAATGTACCGTTTGTGTCCGGGAAGGGTTCATAGTTTCATAGTTGTCGATTTTCGAAAGAAATCAGTACATATATAAATAATTACAAGTTATTACCTCGATACAAATGTTTGTCCGTTACAGGGCATCAAATTTAAGAAAATAAATATATTTTTTAAGATTTGAATAAAATTTAAAGTGCCTATGTTTTGCTAAGCGTTTTAACATGTGATTTTCACAAAAAAAAAACAGAAAGGGCTCCAGAAGGGCGAAAATTACCGCCACCCTTACATAAATTGTAATTAAAAAATGCAACTTCAAGGACAACTGATTTTTTAAATGGTTCTTTTAGTATTTACTACATTTTTGTAGAAAAAAAATGTTTTTCCAAAGCTGACCTACAAAATATATCTTATGTTACATTAAACATTAAAATCTAGTAAAAAAAATATTATGTCAGTGTTACAAAGAATTTTTGACAATAAAAATCAATTGATTTCTTATTTGCCCTCTAATGGGAAACAAGACAAGTACTTTTGTACAGGGATTAACAGTGTTGAGTTAACTTATTTTAATTCCAACAACATTGGGACACCCTGTATAAAAGTGGTTTACTGATGCATTATTCATTGTTTACCTCTATTGTTTTCTGTAGATGACTTAGAATCATTTTTACCTGTGCATGTTTTTTTTTTAATTTTATATCATTGAATACAGGAATGTCAAGTATTTTAAAAATATCTATTAATTTGATTTTTTTCGCTCTTTTACAGGTCTTATTATTTGTTGATATTTAGCCTATAAATTTGCATTATCTTTAACTATACATACAGATTATTATGCTTTGATTATGCTTATATTACATTATTTATTATATTATTTTAATAATTTTACCTATTAGTCAGAATGCCTGAAAAACCCTACTCTTAGCAGTTCAGGTATCTCTTTATAAAACAAAATTACGAAATTTTCTTTTTGATTGAACCATGAGAAATATCTATTAAATAAATGTAAATGAGATGCACAAATACTGGTTAACTTTCTTTATCGAATTCATTACATGGTCATCCAGTTAGTAATCATAATATTCTTAAATCTGGTTATATGTGTCAATAGCTATTATGATGTGTTCCATTTTAGAAAGTCAAGAAGTTTTAGTAAGCCAAAGAGATTTTTTTTTGAAACAAAAAACCAGGTTTTTTTTGAATAATCTTTTTATTTAAAATTTACCATACAACGATTTTTAAAATTTAAAGTATCCAGAAAATTATATACCTAACAAAAAAATAAGTAGAATATTAGTAAAAAAAGGTGTAGTATACTAAATTGAGCTTGTTCAATAATTTTATACATGATTAGAATATTTATAATAATTTTAATCAAAGTAAAACAATCTAAAAATATAAAAAAATAATAAGTTTATGCCTAGTTTACTTTCTCGCCTCCTTGATGCTGTTGTCTTTGTATTGCAGCTTGTTTTTCGATTTGAAAAGGTTGGCAATCGTTTTTCTAAAAATAATAAAGCAGAAAGCAATACTTTTAAACCTTCCATTTATACAGGGTGGGCCACTGAAAACTTACAATAGCTATAATTTTTAAACTAAAAAAGGTATCAAAAAAATAAAAAAAAACCGTTTCTATAACATCGAGGGGGAATACATATGACGTATTTTTTGAACCACCCCGACCTACCCCTAAGGCGGCACCACTACTCACTTGAAAATCTTAAATGGCAACACCCCACTTGTGGCGCCTTTTTGGAAAACTACCCCTTACACGAAAAATTAGGAGGACATTAATGAGAAAAGTGATTTGTTCAGCATAAGTTACAAATTGGGACCCAGCTAAATGAGGTTTTTTTCAAACTACCCCGACCCACCCCTAGGTGCCACCCCCTCACTTTTAACCTCAAGATAGCGATACCCCACTTGTGACACCTCTTTGGAAAGCGTATAAAAAATGCTGAACGACTGTCATAAAAAAGAACCCAAAAAATAGAGCCTAAAAATAAAACAAAAATGTCAAAACGTGTCAAAATCAATAGAATGAATTATTTTTGTATCCATGAACCATTGCGAGAAAAAAAAGCTGGTACAAAGAAATTTATTTGGACTCTTCTTAATGAAGACCTCATACACTTTCAGCAAGATGGAGCCCCTTCGCATTATTCTATTGTCACAAGGCGGTGGTTGGATAAATATTATCCAAGGCAATGGATTGGCAGAAGGGGTCTAATCGAGTGGCCGCCAAGGTCACCTGATCTCACTCCTTTAGACTTTTCCTTGTGGGGTTACACTAAATTCGTTGCAAGAATTGCGGTAGAGGAGAACTGAAGCATGTCGAAATATTCCGAGAGAAACTTTCCAAAAAGTGGGAGAAGAATTTGAAAATCGTTTGTATTTTTGTATGGAACAAAACGGCTGTCATTTTGAGCAATTATTAAAATAAATTATCATTTTAAATTTCTTTCAAATTGTCACACCTACATTTCTTGTCACTAACCAGTAATTAAGTTGAAATCTGTATGACCATCTTTTAGCAATTTCAATTAGCTTTCCAAAGAAGTATCACAAGTGGGGTATCGCTATCTTGAGATTAGAAGTGAGGGGGTGCCAACTAGGGGTGGGTTGGGGTGGTTTGAAAAATACTTCATTTAGCTGGGTCCCAATTTGTAACTTATGCTGAAAAAATCACCTTTTTCATTAATGTCCACCTAATTGTTCGTGTAAGGGTAGTTTTTCAATTTCACCCTAAGAACTTTATGATCATCATTTAGCATGTTTCATGAGCTTTCCAAAAAGATGCCACAAGTGGGGTGTTGCCATTTAAGATTTTCAAGTGAGTAGGGGTGCCTCCTAAGGGGTAGGTCGGGGTGGTTCAAAAAATACGTCATATGTATTCCCCCTCGATATTATAGAAACGGTATTTTTTATTTTTTTGATATTTGATAAATTATAGCCATTGTAAGTTTTCAGTGGCTCACCCTGTATTATATTCTTCATGGAATTAAAAATGATACATATTTAGTTTAAACAAAGAAGGTCATCGTAAAAGAGTTAATTTTTAGCTCTTAATGTACAAAAAAAAAGAAAAAAAAATAATAAAAAACCGAACTTTGAGTCTTGTTTTTTTTCAAGAAAAAGGTATATTAAGTAAATATTCTTACAAATTGTATATGAGCAGAACACAGTCTAGGACTTAGCCCATTGGTTGGGGGTGCCCTTGCTGGTGGCTGAGGGGGATGTGGTGGTATATCAAGGGGTGAAGGTACGTAAGTTACACCTAGAAAAAAAATTGGTAAAAAAATGAAAATTTTTTTTTAAAAAATATATATTTTTTTTAATTATTTTTAAACATTTTTTTAAATTTTTTTTTAATAATATAGCACTGTTCTACCTGAAAGACACTTAGAACACTGTCTTTTCAATGCAGGCCTTTGACGTGAACCCCTACATTTCAATGCAAAACACAATTCACCTCCCATTTCAGAACATATGGATTGATGCGGTGCCGTTGGAGATCTCTGAAAAAAAAAATAAAAATAAAAAAATATCTAAAAAAATGCATATAATTTTATTTTGTTCCACTATTGACAAGCTTATTTTCATTATTTTTTGGGCCAGGATATTCTTTACTAAACAATGTTATTTTTTTTAGTTACTAAACATTAGTTTACGTTAGTTTACTAAACATTATTATTTAATAATTTCTGTTTATATAAAATATCATATAGATAACATCATCGATTATAATTCCCAGCCGTCTTGGACGCCGTTTTTTTTCCATCTTACGGTACCTATACGACACTTATACGGGCTCTTAAATAAATGCAGGTATTCTAACTCGTAACATGTAAATAAAAATAAAAAAAATTGTTTATAAAAATATAAAATGCTGTTTTTATTTACCTTCTCAGCTATAGCAGTTTTCTTGGAGTTATAACAAAACTCCACGATGGCTATGATAACTGCAAACGCCAGACCGCACAGCAAAACAACAAAAACGCCACCTATATTGTCAACGCCCAAACTGTTAGCTTTGGATTCTTTCCCTTTGTCATTCCTGGTGCACGTTTCTCCTGTGTTTTTCCACCACTTGTCGTAGAGCATCTGGATTTCCCCTTTTTCCTGTAATTCCAGAATTGCCAGGGATATTTTGTCCCTCCATGGACTACCCATGGGTGTGGCAATGCCATAACCTTTAGAATCCAATAATCCTCCTACAAAATTAAAAATATCATAAATTCTATTACTTTAACTTAGTAAAAAGTGTCGTAACAAAGATGTAACGATTCTTCATACACTTTTCCTACCCCTATTAAAGGGAAAATCTTAAAGAGATGAATGCCCTCTAACGGGACTAACAAAGCACTTTTGTTTAGAGGTAAATTGTGCCAAATTAAATTTTTTGATTCCAGAAATACGTAGTAGTTCTATGTCTACGGAATATTGGGACACCCTGTATACATTTTTTCATAATTAATAAAAAAGAAAAATCGACATCTATGAAAATATGAACCCTTTCTGGATACAAACGGTACATTGTGAGACAGGAAATTGTAGAGAGAAACAAGCCCTATAACATAGGATACAACATTTTAATGAACAGTGCTTTCCATAAAATCAATAAAATGAAAAATATACGAAATAATATACATGTTCTGATTTCTTTCGAAAATCGACATCTATGAAAATATGAACCCTTCCTGGACACAAACGGTACATTGTGAGACAGGAAATTGTAGCGAGAAAAAAGCCCTATAACATAGGATACAACATTTTAATGAACAGTGCTTTCCATAAAATCAATAAAATGAAAAATATACGAAATAAAATAAATGTATCGATTTCTTTCGAAAATCGACATCTATGAAAATATGAACCCTTCCTGGACACAAACGGTACATTGTAAGACAGGAAATTGTAGAGAGAAACAAGCCCTATAATATAGGATACAACATTTTAATGAACAGTGCTTTCCATAAAATCAATAAAATGAAAAATGTACGAATGTCGATTTCTTTCGAAAATCGACATCTATGAAAATATGAACCCTTCCTGGACACAAACGGTACATTGTGAGACAGGAAATTGTAGAGCGAAACAAGCCCTATAACATAGGATACAACATTTTAATGAACAGTGCTTTCCATAAAATCAATAAAATGAAAACTATACGAAATAAAATAAATGTACCGATTTCTTTCGAAAATCGACATTATGAAAATATGAACCCTTCCTAGACACAAACGGTACATTGTGAGACAGGAAATTGTAGAGAGAAACAAGCCCTATAACATAGGATACAACATTTTAATGAATAGTGCTTTCCATAAAATCAATAAAATGAAAAATATACGAAATAAAATAAATGTACCGATTTCTTTCGAAAATCGATATCTATGAAAATATGAACCCTTCCTGGACACAAACGGTACATTGTAAGACAGGAAATTGTAGAGAGACACAAGCCCTATAACATAGGATACAACATTTTAATGAACAGTGCTTTCCATAAAATCAATAAAATGAAAAATATACGAAATAAAATAAATGTACCGATTTCTTTCGAAAATCGACATCGATTTATCAAGTTATAGTTCTATTATTCCTTAATTTGGTTAAGTATTATAAGTTCTTAAAAATAAGAAAATTAATCACTGATGGAAGATTATTTATCAATTATTTTTTATCTTTTTATAAAAACGTGATTAAAATATCAAATATTCGGATGTCGCTTACTAATATAGGATAATTTTAACTTTCAAGTCATGCGATAAGATGATTATTATATACAAGGTGTCTCCAAAGGACGCAAATTTAAATTAGTTCTCTAATAAAAATAATAAAACTCATCAATACAAAAAGCGTAACAAAAGTAAAGCAAAGTATTTGAGTAAATTAATAAAAATTAATAAAAAATTAACGTATATTTTTTCAGATAATATATTTTTTTTCCCTAGCATCTGTTAAAATTGCCTTATATCTATCAAAAATAGTAGATAAAATAGTACTTTAACCGCAGGGGTAGATTAAATGATACTTTGACAGCGAGGATAGGTTAAAAACTTTATTTTTTCTCGCACGTTTTTTAATTGGTTCCATTTTTGAAAATGTTTGTATTCCTTTTCATAAGTTATTCGGGATTTAAATGGAAGTAGTTTGGATATGGCGTTTGTCGCCTCAGCCTAAATATCTGTTGGTAATTTAATTATTTCGTTTTGAGCCATTTCTGGTTCCAATTCAATCAGCAATCGACACGAAAGAGAATTAAAAAATATTGACTCAAAACTGACAACTAAAGAGACAGCATAAGACAGTTTTATTTATTTGTCAAATTACATAGAAACCAACACCAACCCAGCACAATATTTTTTCTACTCGTAATAAATTCCTTGAAATAATAATTTCTGAATATTTTTTAAACCGTAACTCGTTATGGAAAAAAATATTGTTATATATACGATGATTTCATCGTTTGTGAATTAATCTTTTCTGGCTGTAAAATACCATTTTATCGTCTTCTATAAAAAATAACTATGAACTACTCATTACTCTGACACAAACCTATTTGAGTTAAATTACAATCCCTTTGAACAATATAATCCAACATGGTTGATTCCATAAGAAAGGCGTAGTTTCCTTCTAGAACTTTCTTAATTCCTTCTTCGTAAGTAGGCACAAAAACCGAGGGTTTTCTGTTTTCCATGAACCTCCACATTTTCTTATACGTCTCTATCATTGAATCCTAAAAAAAATCTTTATTACTAATTTTATAATAATGCATAATGGCATAATTCTAACCAAAATCTATCTAATATCTTGGCCACATATACAAGAAAACTCAAACTTAAACACAATTAAAATACACACACCGGAAAAATCTAGGGATATCATTTTATTAAAGTTAAAAATAAATGTTTTGAATAAACAACCACATATTTGTAGGCCGATTCTTTCTACTTCGATTGAAACGAAGTAGTCACACTAGTTATTTCTAAATTTGGGATATTTGCAGAAGTGTTTGTGCATTTTTTGTTAAATGTATAAACAGCACCTAGCATCAATTGTTCGAATTTAACCTGTACTGGCTATGTTTTTATGATAACTGGCCAGAATTCATTCAAATAACTCTGTTTAGTATTAAACGACATTATGGAGCGTAGACATCTTAACAGAGATGAAATGCTAAGGACCATGGGTATGCTCGAAGCTGGAATGCGCCAAATCGACGTAGCTAGAGCATTAAATACAACGCGAAGTGTAATATCGCGATTAAGTGCAAGCCACCGTGAAAATGGTGATGTTGCTGCAAGGCACACAGGGCAACATCGCATTACTACCCCTCAGCAAGATCATTTTTTACAATTAAATGCTCGACGCCGACCGACTTTTACAGCACCAGAGCTTAGTTTAATTCTCCAGGAAACACATAATGTAACCGTTAGTCCTGACACTGTACGCAATAAGAGAGAGGTCAACTTAAGAAGCAGACGCCCTGGAGAGCTCAATCCTTAACGAGAGGAAAGCGAGAGGTACGATATTTATGGGCTCAAGATCATGTTCAGAGGTCGAATGAACAATGGGCCAATGTTCTCTTCACGGATGAGTCACGCTTTGGAATTCATCCGGATTCGAGAAGGCTTAGGGTATGGAGAGAACCAGGAAATCTTATTCGGTTGGATCATGTTCAGGAAGTGCATCTTTATCAAGGTGAAGTCTGGGGAAGAGTCCAGTTCGGCCGAAAAACCGATCTCGTTTTTCTTGAAAGGTTTCTAACAGGAATCACATATCGTGATTTAATTCTTGAGCCTGTCGTGTTACCATATGCCAATGATTTTGGTAGAAACTTCATTCTCATGCATGACAATGCACGGCCTCATACAGCCAGAGTGGTAAGTAAGTTTATCAATGCTAATCAATTAAACATCTTACCCTGGCCGGCCCAATCTCCTGACCTCAACCCCATCGCGCACGTATGGGACGCGGTCCAAAGAAGAATTTTGAGAATGGGTATGCCTCGTGAAACTCGTAGGGATCTGGTTCGGGCCGTGAATGCAGTGTGGCAGGCTGTACCTCAAGAAGAGATCGACAACCTGATCAGGAGCATGGAGAGACGATGTAGGGCTGTAATGAACAGTAGAGGAGGCCATACCCTTTATTAAGTAAAATTGGTTTTATCTTTTTTTTTTAATTCACAGTTTAGAATAAAAAAAATGTGTGTATTTTTTTGAGTTCAATATAAATCAAGGTAAGTTTGAAAAATTCGGTAAATTTTGCATTTTTATTTCCAATACGTCCTGTAAACTATTTGTTTATTATAATTATATTATATCAGAAATGCAAATAATAAAAATTACTGACGATGGCTGGATAAAATTGTAATATCCGTAGACTTTTCCGGTGTGTGTATATATAATCACATTATAACGAATTACCCTAAAAAATGTCATGGTAGATCCACTTTCCAGTGTTCCATATGGTATTTCGGTTTGGCTGGCTAAATCTTCTGCATTCTCTATAGGAGTTATCATTCGTTCCACTGTCAGAAATGCAGCCAAGTTGGCTGTGTACGAAGAAATGATGATCAGAGTGAAGAACCACCATATTCCACCCACAATTCTTGTAGATGTAGCCTAATAAATCGTAAGAAAATATTAGTACGACTGGAATCTGTTAAACTTTTATCATATCACTATTTTAATTGACATCTTTTTTTTTTGAAATTAAGCGAAATTAAGAAATCTAAACCTTATCTAAAATAATAATAACCCAACACTGACAAAAATAATAGATTCATTCATCCTTCAAGTATTTGGTTTCAATATAGCACCTATATTTTCTTATATACAGTGTGATTTAAAAATAAATTTACTCAAAAAAAATATTCTATGAACATCGTATGTTAAAGAAAATGAATCAATATTTAAATTAAGAATATAAAGAAGAAGAAAAAGAAAAGTATAAGATTCAGAGGCTAATGAGTGTTTTTTTCACTAATGCAACTACTTTTTATGTAATTTTTTATCAAGATTTTAATTATTTTTTAACAATTATCATATATTAAATAAAAAGGTTTATTTTTAAACTCAAATTTCTTGACATTCAATAAATAAAAAAAATCTTTACTGAATATTTGTACTATTTATTCAGATTATTTTTAAGTGATAGATTTTAAAATAGACTCAATAAAATTAAACAAATTAAGGTCTTTATACTGTTTTATAGAATTTTTTATACCATATTCAAGATTCAACGTAATGCTGCGAGGAAAAAGATATAGAATAAAGTATAGGTGCTTATAGAATTATTTTTAAATCTAGATGGTCAGTGTTGGGTTATGAGAAAGGGGGGGGGGAATAATGATAGAAGAAAGAGATAAATATAAAAAATATAGGTGCTAATAATATTTTAACATAACAAGTTTTTGGCATTAATCAGAAAATACTGTAGAGATAAGTTTTCAAATTGTTGATAAAAAAATAATCCCACGTATATGGTATACTTGTATTATTTTTATGAAATCTTCGGTTATTTTTAGGTTATAAAATATACAGGGTATTAATTTGAAAAGTAACAATTGAGACTATTTTATAGGCAGCAAGATGTCTAATACATATTTTCTGTATATTTTCTCTAGATAGCGCTGATAGGTTTAGTTCCGATTATACACAAAAACTTGCTTTATTTATTTTTTTAAACCAAATACCTTCGGATTAAGATCTGAACCCTGTTGCATCAAAGTGCCGATAGTGAACCAGAACGAGTTAGCTAATGAGAACTGGTTCTTCAATTTCTCGTTCTCCACGTCACAGGGATGGGGGTTGTGCCATTCGTACGGCGAAAATCTGGCAACCACGAACATGGTGATGGACACCAAGACGTAGGCGCTGAAAACGTACATCCAGATGTCAGTGGCCAGGGGGTTCATGAAGGAGAAGAGTCTCGTTTGTGGACTGGACGGTACCTTGAAGGCAAGAGAATAGTTTAGAGTATAAGGAGAGAACAGAATTTCATAGCTCCGTATCTCTTGTAGTATAATCCAAAGAATTAGATCAGAGTTTAAGATTTTCAGGTCTATTTTGGTCCTCTTCTTGTCTCCAGTTTTACCGTTTTCACATACTCCATTATCTTGAAGCGTTTTTCATAGAGCACTATACCAATGCCCTGTTTGTAGATCCACTACACTAGTTTTGACAGTTTTCTATGATGTCTGCCTGTGTTCTGGTGAATGCTTTCCCAGTTCTAGACTCTGGACCGTTATAAATGATTCATTAACTTAAAGAATAGTATTAGTTGGCTTGTAATATTGTCAACGAGCTTGTATATTATGTTAAAATTTGAGAAATGCCAAAATTTATTTGTATTTTCTGACTTTCTATAAGTGAGATCGAAGAAGAGTTCATATAAGAGAAATTTATTTATTCCTCTGATCACTATTAAGGTAAATCGGTTCAGAACTTTATAATAAATTAATTACACGCTTAAGTTTGATTGAATCTGGATATTTGATTTATTTGAATACATATTTTTACAATGTTGGGTTACTATTCGTTCAAAAAAGACAAACTAAAGGTTCTTTTATTTTTGATTAGTATTTTTTTAGGATAATCATTTTTAGAGCTTCTGATATTTTTTTGACAACCTTAATTTTATAATTACTGTAGAACTGCTGATCAATTTGGCAATTATTCTGTCGGTATGTCAATTGATTGACACAGTCAATTAGTTTCGGTCATTTCCTGTTTCACCGAAAATTACTATAACTTTTGGTTTTTACTTATTAAAAGGTTCATTATTGGTAAATCAAACTCATGAGTATAAAGTATAATTGAAACTACTAATTTTCAGATTCTAAATGAGGCTTAAGTATTAGCATTGCCAGGCATTAATAATTAGGATTACCAGACAATGGTTCAAACGAAAAAAAGAGTTCTAAGATATTTATAATACATATACAATACAATTCTTTATTAGTTTGTCATTTTTCTTTTTAAATCAATTTTTTTAAACTCCTATTAGGTACCTGAGGAGATACGCCTGTACCCTGTCTCAGAAATGTACCCGCAACAAACCAGAAACTGTTCGACATGTTCATGTGGTTCACCAGCTTCACCTCTGCATCCCTCTTCCATGGTCGGGGGTTCACCCACTCGTACGGCGTGAACCTGGCCAGGGCGTATATGGTGAACCCGGCCATAAACGAAGCTCCCAAAGTGGACAGCCAAATTTTAAAGCCCAGCGGGTTCAGGAAGGTGAAAAAGGCGGATTCTTTATCTGTCGGCACCTGTCATTATCCATTTTTTTTTTATATTTAAGGATTTTTTTATATTGGGCGAAAGAAAATTACAAAATATTATATTAATTAGTATTACATATAAAAGTCTTTTGACCTAACCTTAATGAATTACTCTATAGATATAGATGACATATTATTAAAAAAAAACTTACCTTAAAAAGTATACTTATTCCTAGATTCATAAAGGGTTTGGTAAAATCAATAACACTCTCTCTTGCATAGTTGATGGTCATTGATCCGACAGCCAAATCTGCCTTCTGTAAATTAAACCACAAGCAAAATCTTAGTCGGTAATATTAATTATACAGGGTGAGTGTTAAATAAGTGCCACATAAGTGCAAGTAGTGTAGATCTTGTCAAAAAATGTTTACAATTTGTAGACAAAGGTAAAGTAAACATAAAAAGAGAATACAAAACAAGTAAACAAATTACATTGTCAGTCTTATTGTTTAAAATAAACATTTATAAATGTTTACAATGTCAAAGAAAAAAAAAATAAAAATAATATTCAAAAATATTTAGTAAGTTTATAGTAAATGTAGTAGTAGAAGGGTAATAGCAAATATTAGACCAGTGTTTACAAGATCAAATTCGATTATCAAAATATAAGTCATTTACGGCGTAGAAAGCCGTGTCTAGTAAATAAGATTTCAATGCTTTGCGAAATAAAGAAAATGATGTTATGGATTTGATTTCAAATGGCAGGTGATTGTGCATTTTTTTCGAGTTGTATAATATTGAACTTTTAACTAACTCTGAGCGTGGGGTAGGTAGATAAAGATCTTGCTCCGCGTTCCTGAGTGGATAAGTGTGAGATGGCCTTTCTTGAGAAGCTGATACATGCTTACGTATTAGGCAAACGCATTCAAATATAAATAAGGAAGGAAGAGTTAATATTTATAATTTATTGCAAAAGTTTAATTTTGAGATCCACTGAATCTTTTCTGGGTTTTCTTAGTTCCAATTGATAAGGATGAAATTTATATGTTTTTATATTACTCCTATATTTTTTACGCGTACCTTATCCATAAGTTGTCTTACTATGCCGTTCCACTCGCCAGTATCCAGATCTATGGCACCGTACTTTCCGTCAGGTACCAACTCAATTCGGTACTCAAAACCGATCATTTTGGCCAGTTCTTTGAGCAAGTCTATGCAGAAGCCTTCGTAGCGATTGTTACCGGACAAGTTCGAGCCAGATTTTAGCATTACATAGGGTTGTTCCTGGAAAAAAGGGTGTGGGATGTCTAGCGATATAGTGGGCAAGGCTAGTGAAGGGTTACAAAGATAGTTATGTTTAAAAGATATACTAAAATTATATGCAGGGTGTTTCAAAACAAATGCGACAAACTTCAGGGGGTGATTCCTTGTTCAAAATAAAGGGTAGCTTGCTTTATAAACGTTGGGTCAAAAGTAAACCATTTAGGGAGATATCGCGGTACAAAGATGGCGGAAAAATAATGTTTTAATTTTTTATCTTGAAAACGAAAAGAGATAGACTAATGAAATTTTATGGAAGCATTACTGTTGTGAAAACACACTTTTTGGTAATTTTTTCATTTTTTTAAAATGAGTGGAAGGGGTTGAAATAAACTACCCCTATCATTCTTGTTAATGAAATTTAAAGAACAATCTTATCAAACACATGCAAAAAAATTAATTTGGATAGTTTAGTTTGTTTAGAAACTTTTTTATCTCTTGTGTTTTTTTGATAAAGCTCACCGATTTGAAATTAAAAAATAAAATGTAAAGCATTACATGTCAGGACAAAAAACATTTTTAGATAAAGAATCTAGTGGGCAGCTGTAATTTTTTTAGGAAAAATCTAGTCGGCCGCTGTCACTTTTCATGTGTTTGATAAGATTTTTCTTTAAATTTCGTTAACAAGAATGATAGGGGTAGTTTATTTCAACCCCTTCCACTCATTTTAAAAAAGTGAAAAAATTACCAGAAAGTGTGTTTTCATAACAGTAATGCTTCCATAAAATTTCATTAGTCTATCTGTTTTCGTTTTCAAGATAAAAAATTAAAACATTATTTTTCCGCCATCTTTGTACCGCGATATCTCCCTAAATGGTTTACTTTTGACCCAACGTTTATAAAGCAAACTACCCTTTATTTTGAACAAGGAATCACCCCCTGAAGTTTTTCGCATTTGTTTTGAAACACCCTGTATATTGATTTGTTTTGAGCCAACATGTTGAGTTGGGGGTTGGAATCTTTGATGATACAACAGCAAAATAAAACACCAATTCAAACATATATAGCAAAATGTAAACAAGCTGTTCGTTTATCTATATTAGTTTGATTTGACAATTTATTTAATATTATCTTTTTCACAATTTATCTGCTGGTGCTTCTGAACGCTACTGTCTAAAATACTAATTTATGGAGTGTTATGTTTCTACTTTTACTGCATTTTTTTTTATCTATACATAAGTAATAATTAAATTCTAGTAAAATAATGAACAACTATTTGCATAAAAGCTAGACCGTTTAACATGAACATTACTACAGATTATACTCACCTAAAAAACTCTGACGGTGTTGACTTCACTATTAACTAACTTCTTCTTAGAGACCTATTTACAATGGCTGGATTGAGCCAATATGAATTTTTGTTGCCAACTTTTAACATTTTCGAATATAGTTTATTTGAAATTGTAACGACAATTTGACTCGAAATACCAAGTATATGGTACCAAATTATTCTCAAAAATTGCTTTTTCCAAATATACTAGTGAAAAAAATGTGATATGATTAAAAATACGATTTGGGCATCTTTTAACCGGCCAGGAAAAGACACTAAAAGCATTAGACGATCAAATCTATTTTTTCAAGGTTCTTTGAGTAAAAATTAGTGTTTTTAACACAGCCATGGCACTCTAGATTGAAATCCAAAATACAATTTTGTTTTATGCGAGAATGTCAGAAGTTGACATATGATATGTCAATCGATTCACAATGTCATTTTCTATCGAATGAAGTAAAAAAATACCGAGGGTGCCATTTAAAAATTAAAAATTGTAGTCATTTCCGGTGAAACAGGAAGTGGCCGAAAACAAACGAATACGTCAATCAATCCTAATTTGTGTCATTGAGATTGTCATAATTTGAAATTATTTTTATATTAGGTATAATTTTATATATTTTATTGAGAACAATTTAGTTTTTTAATTATCTTAAATTATCCATGAAAAAATGCAGCAATTATACGGTCTTTGCAAGGGTCCAGATTTAATTTCGTCTGAAATAATTCCAGCCATTAGTACCCTTCTGTTCGATTAAATGAGACAATTTAACTTGAAACGCCTTCTTTTACAGGGAATCTTACAATTGGTGGCAGCATTATGTTAACTTTGTCTAAAATCTAATAATATACTCAGATTCAAAAAAACGCAACAGAGAAATTTTTAGTCAAATTTAAAGTGTTATATTTTTGTTATTTTTCGCCACAATGTCATTTTGATGATTTTTTAGCAAGCTGTATATAATTATATTAGCGTGTACCAGCGACTCGTTCGCGTCGAATTAATCATTTGTAATGGTGATGATAAAGCAAATAACATGGTAATATTGGAGGGGTAGTTTTATCTCGTTGGAATTTGACTTTCGAAAAATCCGTTTGCCAAATATAAGCTTTTTACGTCAAGCAGTTTAAGCAGAATCGTGGTTAAGAAATTACCGAACTTTTTGGAACACCCTGTATGATTTTTTAAAAAATTTCAAAATATGTAAAAAAATCAAATAAATTATGCGTGTCCAAGCGTTTTCCCGAAAGACTAACCGTTTTTTAAATAACAAATATTGTAATATTTGAGGGGCGTTTTCGCCCCCTTGGAATTTGAGATTCGAGAAACCCCTCCTTATCGAACCTCTACACCCCACAGTCAATCCGTTTGCCAAAATCAGCTTTAAACGTCAAGCAGTTTAAACAGAATCGTGATTACTCAATGGTCATATTTTATGAAACACCCTGTATAAATTTATAAAAAATCTTAAAATATGTAAAACAACAAAATAAAATATACGCGTTTAAGAGTTTTTCCGGAAACTTGGCCGTTTTTTAAATAAAAAAGAGAGATAGTTTCACCCCCTTAGAACCTCTACACCCTAAAGTCAATCTGTTTTCCAAAAATCAGCTTTTTACGTCAAGCGATTTAAGCAGGATCGTGATTAATCAATGACCAGATTTTTAGAAACACCCTGTATACATTTTTAAAAAATCTTAAAATATGTAAAAAAACAAAATAAAATATACGTGTTTAAACGTTTTTCGGAAACTTGACCGTTTTTAAATAAAAATATTGTAATATTTGAGGGGTGGTTTCACCCTCTTGGAACTGGAATTTCGAAAAATCCCTTCGTATCGAACCTCTACACCTTAGAATCAACCTGTATGCCAAAATTGAGCTTCTTACGTTGAGTGGTTTGAGCAGGATCGTGATTAATCAGTATGTCAGTCACTTAAGGATTTTATATTAGTATAGATCAACTTTAATTCGTAAACTCAGTTTTTTTTGAGGGGTTGTTTTTTACCTTAACTTTAAAACACCCTGTGCAATAATTTCGTTTGTAAATTTTCCTATAATATAATTTTAGAGTCAGGATAGTAAATTAAATAAAGGCTCTTTGACTTACTAGCTTACATGTTTGATTCCCTCATGGACAAAATGTATTACCTACCTGTTAAAATACTTATTTGTATAATACTCTGTATAATGGTTTGGTTTTTGCTTTGAATAAGAAGACTAAGGAAGGAGCATATCAAAAATCTTAGGTACACCGCGATGGGCCTCAAATATGGCCGACTTAAATTCCGGTTTATCAGTGTCGTTCTAATTTTATTTAAAAAATGTAAAACTATGATGTAGGGTAGATGTGGGGTAGACTCAATAATTTGTTGTTTTATTTTACGTTGTGAATAAATGTTGGTAGTTATTAAAATTGTTATAAAAATACATAATTCTAATAAAAATAGATGTTATAATAAGTATTTATTAACACAAACATCCGATACGCTACTGAAGCAAGTCAAATTAACGTATCTAAATTCTTTGACATCTAATCTTTGACAAGTAATAAATAAAAGCTAAAATGCAACAAAAATATATAATTTAGTTAATTTAAGTGAATTTCATAAATGATCGGTTTACTACACGTATCTATATTATATAGACACTTACTAGCGAAAAGTTGTTCCATTATTTCACTCAATTTTTGCCGAGATCTACCGCACGCTACACAACCAACTATTTTAGAGTCTTTTCGATAAATCGCGATAGTGTCACTGTTAATTTAAGTTCTGCCACAATTTCCATCTAGATTTACTACCTTTATACAGCTATCAGTAGTAGAATAAATAATAAATAACATAAAATCAGCTCCGTAAAGACTGACAAATCCACAAAATTTCAAATCAAATTCAAATGTGTCAAATGAATCGTCAAACAGAACTGTCAAGGATCCCCACCCTAGAGAGCTTTTATGGTGCCTTTTCCGCCCACCATGCATGAATACTTGGACAGCATTATGCTCCTTCCTTAGTCTTCTTATTCAAAGGGTTTTTGTCTAGTATAAAGTAGAAAAAAAAACAAGCAAAAAAAAATCATGTACATACATGCATCATAAGCTCCCTAACCATGCCATTCCACAAGCCAGTCTCTGGATCAAAGGCTCCGTATTTTCCGTCAGGAACCAGATCCAGAAGATAGTCAAATCCGACTTTTTCTCCGATTTTTTCCAGGATGTCTACGCAGAAGCCGTAAAATCTACCGTTTCCCGTATAGTTTTTCCAAGCATGCATCATGACGTATGGCGTTTCCTAATTGCATGCAAACAACAAGTAAAAAACAGAAAAAATATCACTACAAACTTTAATACGTAGGTTGCCTTATAAGTATTTACAAAAAGTGAAACAGAAATTGAATTTTTAATTCAGTTTTTGTTTCAAATCACATTTCCTGAATATATAAATAATTATTTTTCCATAGCAACTATTAAAATTGCTTTATATCTATCAAAAATAGTAGATAAATTAGTACTTTAACCACAAGGGTAGTTTAAATGATACTTTAACAGCGAGGACAGGTTAAAAACGTTATTTCTTTTCGCACGTTTTTTAATTACTTCCATTTTTGAAAAATTTTGTATTCCTTTACATAAGTTATTCTGGATTTCAATGGAAGTAGTTTGGATATGGCGTTTGTCGCCTCAGCCTGAATATCTGTTGGTAATTTACTTATTTCGTTTTGAGCCATTTCTGGCTCCAATTCAATCAGCAATCGACTCAAAACTGACAACCATCTGACAACTAAAGAGACAGCTTTATTTATTTGTCAAATTACATAGAAACCAACGTCAACCCAGCATAATATTTTTTCTACTCGTAATAAATTTCGTGAAATAATAATTTCTGAATATTTTTTAAAACGCAACTCGCTATGGAAAAATATATTGTTTTATACACGACGATAAAATTGCATTATCGTCTTGTATAAAAAATAAATATTAAACGCTTCATATGAGTGGAAATAAAACTCTTAAACGACTGTAGATAAAATAGACTTACCAAGATTGTGGTGACCACAAGTGTGACGTTCATGTTACCGTGATCGAAGAAGGCATTCCTGTCGGTGATATTCACTCCAGTACCTGGATGCCATTCACCAACTTTCACCAAAGCGTGCTGCTTTAATTTCAGTAGGTCCAGCTTGAACCTTATACGTTTTCCCTCCTTGAATTCTATAGGGCCTGTTAGGCCCTTGAATTCAACCTGAAAGACATTAGTAAGCTCAATTAAAAAGGTAAGAATCTTGTAACCATTGCATTGCTTGAAAAGACTAAAGAAGGACTTTAATACTATTTTTTTACGACTAGCTAAGAAAATGCAGTTTGACACACGGAAAACTCGATCTGAAATTGGCATTTTGTAAACTGTTGTGTGCTAGGGATTTATCGCACGACATGTGTCATTTTGTACACGACATGTGTCAGTTTTAACATATTTAACCTCCAATGTTTAGCTGAAACGCCAAACGCAACGCAACCGTCAGAAAAGTGTCATCATTACATCGCAAATTATTTCACAAAACTGGCAAAAACTGACTAGCAGAATCTGCTGCGAATTTGTAGTCGTAGAAAAAATAGCGTAAAAACTCGTTCGAAATGGTATATGGTAACACGACAGGCTCAAGAATTAAATCACGGTATGTGATTCCTGTTAGAAACCTTTCAAGAAAAACGAGATCGGGTTTTCGGCCTAACTGGACTCCTCCCCAGACCATAACTGTTCCACCTTGATAAGGGTGCACTTCCTGAACATGATCCAACCGAATAAGATTTCCTGGTTCTCTCCATACCCTAAGCCTTCTTGAATCCGGATGAATTCCAAAGCGTGACTTATCCGTGAAGAGAACATTGGCTCATTGTTCATTCGACCACTGAACATGATCTTGTGCTCACAAATATCGTACCTCTCGATTTCCTCTCGTTAAGGGTTGAGCTCTCCAGGGGCGTCTGCTTCTTAAATTGACCTCTCTTAATCTATTGCGGACAGTATCAGGACTAACGGTTACATTATGTGTTTCCTGGAGAATTAAACTAAGCTCTGGTGCTGTAAGAGTCGGTCGGCGTCGAGCATTTAATTGTAAAAAATGATCTTGCTGAGGGGTAGTAATGTAACGATGTCGCCCTGTGTGCCTTTCAGCAACACCACCACTTTCACGGTAGCGTGCACTTAATCAAGATATTACACTTTGCGTTGTATTGAATGCTCTAGCTACGTCGATTTGGCGCATTGCAGCTTCGAGCATACCCATGGCCCTTAGCATTTCGTCTCTGTTAAGATGTCTACGCTCCATAACGTTGTTTAATACTAAACAAAATTATTTGAATGAATTCTGGCCAGTTATCATAAAAACATAGCCAGTACAGGTTAAATTCGAACAATTGATGCTATGTGCTTTCTATACATTTGACAAAAAATGCACAAACACTTCTGCAAATATCCCATATTTAGGAATAATAGGTGTGACTACTTCGTTTCAATCAAAGTAGAAAGAATCGGCCTACAAATATGTGGTTGTTTATTCAAAACATTTATTTTTAACTTTAATAAAATGATATCCCTAGATTTTTCCGGTGTGTGTATTTTAATTTGATTTGATTTTTTGCATGTTTCTTTTGTGTTACTTTGTTAATTTTAATGTTATTTCTAGATTATTTGCATGGAAAGTTTAGGTATAGTAACATAAAACATCATTTAAAAGCAAGTTTATTTGTCCTTTGGTTTTTTAAATAACATACAGGGTGTCCCAGAAATAAGTGCAAGTATTTTAAGGGATGATAGATCTCGATAAAATAAACATAGGTATTTTCTCGTTATCGTTTTTCAAAAAGTCCAAAATAACGGAGTTATTTTACTTTGAAAATTTCCAAAAAAATGTCTTTTTGCTAAAATTTTGAGAACCACTGGATCTTTTCTGGATTTTCTTTCTCGTAAATTTAATCTAATACCTATGTTCTATCTATCTATTTTGAAATTTTTTTTTCGCGATTTTCTGGGGTTGAATAAGTAGAGTTATAATAAGTTATTAAGTTAATTAGGAGTAGAATTACTTAGTTATTTGATATGAACTATAAATTGATCAAACCCCCTAGTCAATGTGAATTAAATAAAAATATAAATACCATAATTTCCAGGGAAATAAATAAAATTGGTAATATTTTAGAAATTAGCCAAGTAAACTTATTTTAGTGAATAAACTAAAAAAAGACCTTGTAGGGTATTTCTAATTTATCCTGGCATTATTTAAACAATTTGTTTATCCATTTTAAAGCTAAATACATTGACAAACTGCGGACAAACGAGTTTAATCGGTTTATTCAACCATCACTTCGGTCATAATGGCCGGCGATGTCAACAAATCGTTTATCAAAGAGGTCGACGCGTCGCATATCGTTAAAGATTTACTCACTATGCGCTAAAATTAATGGAAAATCAACACTCGATAGATCACTTTAACATAATTTATCATACGTACATCGTACAATCGTAATAGAGATAGTTTACAAGCTATTTTCTATGTAAAAATTAGGTATATAGCTAGCTTTTTACAGCTTTTATTACTTTTAATTCTATTGCGTCCCATTTCTTGAGATATAACTCATCATACATTCTCAGGGTTTTGAGAAAAACCAGCATCTGAGACGGTTTGCTACAGGGTGGTCCGAACTGTATTCCGGAAACTGCGGCAGCATATTCTGCAGATAAAAATAAGTAAAAACGCTCTTATAATATAGTTTCGGAGATACAGGGTGTAGAAGTATCATTTTTATTTCGATTTTTTCCAAATAATGTCAATATTTGTATATTTTTTTATTCAGTAGTGTTATACAGTTACGGACAAAAAGTTATTACTCTTCAAACCAGTTAAAAAATATGTAGGTGGCGCCCTCTACAAGTAGGAGTCATATTGACATCAAAATAAAATTTCTCATGTCAAAAAACTCCCAGACACCAATTTTCATCCAAATATTGACGTTACTTCATAAATTACATGGAAAAAATCGAAATAAAATGAAACTTCTTCGCCCTGTATCTCCGAAACTAAGCATTTTAGGACATACATTTATACGAACTTTTTTACTTATTTTTCTCTGAAGAATATGCTACCGAAGTATCCAGAATACAGTTCGGACCACCATGTATAGCATAAAAAGTATATCTTAACCTAAAATAATTTAATAAAATTCAGCTGTAATTTAATATAAGTTATCAAATTACAAACGTTTTTACAGACTCTGATAGGATTTCTTTTACTTCCGCTTAACTTATAATTAGTTTGAACAAATTTAACCCCCTATAACATCCCTCAAATTCAACATGAAAACCGTCAATTTAGCCCGCTGTTTTATTTTCGAAAAACTGGGTGAAACTTTTAATTAATTTATAGGAAAAGAAGAGTATAAAGAGGAAAACAAAGCATTATTAAAATCATTATTATTAACTTAAGCTTGGAAAGCGGAGAAAAAAGATAATTATACCGTTAGAGATAAGGTTACTTGCCTTGATTTTAGGGTGGGGGTAAAAGTAATTAGGAAAGGTACGGATCGTAATAGAGTACTAAATATTAAGCTTCCTGATAGAGACGTTTATATGTTTTTAAAAAATATGGTACTTAAGTATTTTTAGATTTTTAATTTTCTTTAAGGAAAAAATATCACGATGAAGTTCAAAAATGTGATCAAACCAAACAAAATTGTTTATTTCTGGCTGCTTTTGATTCAAATTACATTAAAAAACCTTTTTCAAGTTTTTAAGTATTTTGGCCACCTTGAGACTTACAAATAATATCAAAATTGCCAATTTAAAAGTAAAAACTCAAAGTTATAAGAACTTTTTTTCCATTAATTTTGATCCATTGTGATGGAATAAGCATTAGGCTTTTGTAATATAAAAGTTTATATTTTAGAGTTTTTGTAAATAAATTTACAAAATTTAATAAAAATCTAATAAAATATTTGTAAAGGTGAAAAAATCAATAAGTGTTCATCATATATTTTTAAGTTATGAAAAAACGTCCACAAATACACAATCTACTGTTAGCCATAGACAGAAAGTGGAGGCAAATAAATTTTAAAAAGCCTATTTTTTTCCATTTAAATTAAGCATTTTTTACTATTACTGGATAAAAACAAAAACTCTATAGAAATCCTTGGATTGGTTTACTCCAAATTCTTAGTAGAATGAACTAAAGTACAAAAAATCTGAACGAACGGAGGCCTAAGCAAGAAAAGGCAGATAAAAATTGTCACGAAGTCTCCGAAAAAGTCTTAATGATGTTTCCGAAATACGGACATCAGTCGAATTTTATATTAACGACTAATCTGATAACTTCGTCCTGCCAAATTACATTAATTTCGTTGACAGTTCTTTAGTTTTTCCTCCTGCTACCTCTCTATTTCTTTTATTTGTTGTTAATTTCGTCTATTTAATTATGTAGGTAATTAAGTGAAAGTGTGTAAAAAATAAACCCCAAAAAATCTAATTAATTACTTTATTTTTATTTTTCTTTAACTTTTTTATTAGTTCTTTTAATTATTGTCCGGCTATTGTATTATTTTCATTTGATTATCGAGAGTACAATTTAGTCCGACCTGAGTTTATATCAATTTGGGAAAATTATCTAAAATATAAAAAATTATACACTTGAAAATTTTATTTTTTATATTAATCATAAAATTTTCCACTTTTTCTTTGGTACAAAAATATACAGGGTGGTCCAAACTGTATTCCGGAAACTTATCGGCAGCATATTCTGCAGATAAAAATAAGTAAGAAAGTTCGTATAAATGTATGTTCTAAAATGCTTAGTTTCGGAGATACAGGGTTTAAAAGTTTCATTTTTATTTCGATTTTTTCCAAATAAATTCTGAAGTAACGTCAATATTTGGATGAAAGCTAGCGTCTGGGAGTTTTTGGATATGAGAAATTTAATTTTGATGTCAATTTGCAGGGGGCTCCACCTACATACATTTGTTTTAACTGTTTTGAAAAGTAATAACTTTATTAACATTTCGTCCATACCTGTGTGTGTGTAAAACTACGCGAGTACACGTAATTTTTTACGTAAAAATCTCTTGGTAAAAATCGCTACTAGTAACCGTTCTTAAACTTCTACACCCTATATCTCCGAAATGAAGCATTTTAAGACATACGTTTATAAAAACTTTTTTACTTATTTTTTTAACGAATAAAATTCTGACCACCCTGTGTAATTGTCTCTAATCATAATTAATAAATTCCGCTCTGTACATTTCAACTACTTACAGTATTTATGTAGTTGATGAGGCTAAGACCACCATCCCATGGTTGTTCTTTGTCGCAGGACACGTTGGATAGTTTTAAAGAATGTGATTGTTCTAGTGTTTGTAGACCTATAGCAAACACGTACACTGAATCGTACATTAGTGCTGCATCTGCCTAGAACATAAAAACAACAATCATATTAGTTTTGTTTGATATAATTTGTTTTATAAGGCTGGCATATTTTTCTTTCTGTATAATTTTAGATTTTCTTAAAAAATAAGCAAGTGGTCATCATATCTTACTTTGTTATGAAAAATCATTCAAAAATGTACATGTTTTTTTCATTTTTGATTTCAGAAAAATTCTGTGAAACAAATTTTCTCAAAACTGTCAATTCAATTTATCAAAAATCCAAAAAGAGGGAATATAAGCATCTCAGGCAGATTTATCTTTTCTTAGTTCACGAACTTTTTGAAAATCCTCAGGGTTTTCCACTAGTCTAAGACTTTTTTAAGTCGTATGTTCTAGTCTGTATTAGTTTACGTTAGGTTCTGGCAAATGTTAACATGATTGGAAGGGTAATCTCGATAAGATTTATCCCGATCGTCTGACATCAGGGTCCCTAAGGGGAGGAAAAAGTTTCGATCCCCTAGAAACTCCACGGTCAATAAATAATAAATACTGCAGAGGTCTGGAAAAAACTTGAAAATATAGTTGATATTACTAATAAACGAACCAATATATTATGCGGAGGAATAAATACTTTGATCGAAGGTTTTTTCTGTTGGTGTAGTTTTTTAAAAATAAATAATATTTCGTGAATCAAATTAATATTAATTACGCATTTTTCTTTGATGATTTTCTTTGTAGTACAGGAGTCAGGGGGAAAATTATGGTACTGCAAAAGAATACAAGCCCAAAAATAATAAGTATTAGAATTAACTACCTGTCATGCATTAAATTGTTTTCCACGATTCAAAATTATTTATCATGGTATCATGAAAATTGCTTTTTTTTTCAAATAATAGATCAAATTTTTCAAAAATAATCATAATTTTGTCAAAAAAGTTGAAAAATTTAGGAATTTACCAAGTGGATAAATTTAACCGTGAATAACTTTTGAAAGAGTAGGTTTATCGAAAAATTGTCAGAGACCTTTTTTGTAGAGCGTTCAGTTCTTTACAAGAATATGTGATTGTTATTGCTGCGCGAGAACAATATCAAGAGAAAAAAAAAAATATTTGCAAAAAGTGGCAAATTCCCATGTAATTTAAATGAGAAATGAATCGTCTTTGGTGGAAGGTATGAGGACAGTTTCTATATTATTATTTCTCTTTTATTAAAGTTCAGGACAGTATAGTTAGATTCTCTGGAATAGGGATCATGGTTTTCTCTGCCGTGCTCTTTTACATGTGAATTCCAGGCAGAGTACGGCACTCCATTCATTTCATTCAATAAAATAAATAGGGCTATTTACAAATTCAGCGTTTTATTTACATAACCTATTTTCCTTAAATTTCCCAAAATATTGCTTCTGTCGAGGCGCATCCGAGGTAATCACAATAAAAAAATTTTTAACACAACGTATGTTCCTTTCTTTCTTTTAAATTTCTTGTTATACAGTTGGCCAAAATATTACCTCTTCAACTTTGTTGACGAATTTGGGTTATTACACTACAGTAGTAACTTTATTTTCACTATATAACCGGTAAACGAATTTTCCGGAACATCTCAAATCGCAACCGGATTTCTCCAAATCCCTAAAAATTCCCAGTTTTACAGGTCCTCGTTTTGTCCGAAACTTTCTGAATCGTGATAGTCCAAAACAAATACGTGCCCGGTTGATTTAGATGCCACCCAGTTAAAAACTACCGGCCCTGAGTTGTTAGTTGGGTCCGAAAGGGAGCCGGGAGAAATAATTGGAATGGATCCAAATTAGATCAGGCAAAGTCTTATCGATGGGGCGGGAAGTAGACTTGGCACTGTGTCGTTGAGTTTCCCGCTTCGGGCAGATCGATGCCTTGTTTGTTACTCCAGTGACTAATTTTCCTTATTTTTAATAAAGATTCTTTTTTTAAACTACACTCAAAAATATGGCTAGTGACAATTTTTTCTAATTATGGTTTTGCTTTAAACTACATTAAAATAGCAAAAACTATGTCTTTGCTTTTTGGTCCCAATCAACACACCTCTGAAATAGTGTTTATTGACCAGAAAACAAGCTTGAACACAACTTTACTTATAGCACAGAATATCTAGCTACGCAACAGAAAAATACTCGAAATGAAAGAGCTAAAATTACACAAATAAAATACTAGATGGCGCGACAACATCATAAACAGAATATAATTGGAAATTTTCAATTTTCGGTTTTAGATCGACGGTTGTCGACGGCACGTCAACGGCCTTAAAGCTCGGCTAAATATGCACAGTTGCCAGATTCAAAATTATATATTATTTATTCGTTTGGCTTTTAAAATAGTTTTAAGTTTAAGTATATTATTAGAAAACATATGCTCACAAAATACATTTTTAATATATGTAATACACTACTTTATTATGTTAACTAAGAAAATAACTTTAATTATCTTTATAATTAATAATATACAGGGCGATTGATAGTGATATATATTAATGCTGAAACGTTAGTAATGAAATATACGTTTAATAATAATGGAAATAATTTATTAAAATGCAGTATAAAAAATGTTAATTGACTAAAAAAATACTATAATAATAAATTTCTTCTGTTGCCACGTTATTTATATAGACCTAGGTAGATTTTAAAAGTGACACAGGTACAATTAATAATATATTAGTTCGGCATAAAAGTTGCTGTCACGACATCGTACAATAAATTAAAATTCGTAAAATAAATTAAAATGATTAATTAAACAAATCTTTATAAAGAAACGCAAGTACATATCCCAAATTTTGGCCCAATCGAACTCCAGAAAATGATATCCTAATATTGTACTATATTATGGTACCATTCGATATGCTTCATAATATTGCAATGTCACCGAACATCCGTAGTATACCAAGTTTAAGGACAGTCGAACGTCAGGAAATGGTATCGTAATATGGTACTATAGGTAGGTACCACTTTATATGCATCATATTACATACATTTACCATCATATTACAATGTCATCAAAGATACGTAATATACCAAGTTTAAGCCCAATCGAACGCCAGGAAATGGTATCGTAATATGGTACCTCTTGATATGCTTCATGGTACCATAATATTGCAATGTCATCAAAAATACGCAAGTAAAATCAAATATGAGCCCAATCGAAAGTCAGGAAGTGGTATCATAATATGGTACTATAGAAGGTACCACTTTATATGCATTATAGTACCATCATATTACAGTGTCACCGAACATACGTATCATACAAAGTTTAAGCCCAATCGAACGCCAGGAAATGGTATCGTATAATATGGTACTACATTATGGTACCCCTTGATATGCTTCATGGTACCATAATATTGCAATGTCATAAAAAACACGCAGGTATAATCAAATATGAGCCCAATCGAACGTCAGGAAGTGGTATCATAATATGGCACTATAGAAGGTACCAGTTTATATGCATCAAAGTACCATCATATCTTATTACAATGTCACCGAACACACGTAGTATACAAAGTATAAGACCAATCGAACGCCAGGAAATGGTATAGTAATATGGTACTACTATATTATGGTACCTCTTGATGTACTTCATGGTACCATAATATTGCAATGTCGTCAAAAATACGCAAGTATAATCAAATATGAGCCCAATCGAACGTCAGAAAGTGGTATCCTAATATGGTACTATATTAAGGTACCACTTTATATGCATCATAGTACCATCATATGACAATATCACCGAAGATACTTACTATACCAAGTATATATAAGTCCAATCGAACGCCAGGAAATTCAATTACAATCAAACGTCACAAAGTGATATAATTCAGCTCGTAAGATTTAACTCCAACTAACATGGCAAGTTAAATACCTAAACGTTTGAAAAAAGAGCTCTAATCTATTTTAATATGTTTAAATGATGTAGCAAATTTGAAGGTAGGCTTGAATGGCAACGCTGCATAAAATTCTTTTAAATTTCGTTTGTAGAAAACTGTTTTCTTTTAAATTTATCGCCCTCTATTATGTAGTAGCAAAACTACTGCATCAAAATATCTGATTTGGAGACAAGCCTGTCTCCTTTTGATACCTACGATTTTATACGTGTAACGAGGCTTCTGTTGCGTAGCTAGATATTCTGTGCTTATAGGTTTGGTGCATTCTCCGCCGGTGCTGCCACCATTGGAGAATATCGTAAACAATCGGTATATACAAACACACGGGTTTAAATAGCCAGTATAACGAAAAAAAAAATTATATAATTATTCGAAGTTATATTAAGTGTTAGGAAGTATAAGTTGTGAAAATTCAAAAATAAAAAAAATAAAAAATATTTTGATATCTTCAGAAGGTCTAACTTGTATTATGATTTATTATTGAAGTTAATACTTTTTAGAAGAGTTCAACTACGGTAGCGAGCATAGTTTCACGCACAGGTTTTGCTAGTGGGGACATAACTTTTTCGGCTATAACAAAATTTTTTAAAGATATATAACTTTAATTTTAGAAGATATTTATAAAAAAATTAAGTTAAGCACTAGTTGATTAAAATAAGAGTATACCATTAATATTGCAAATTATATTTTATCCTCTCATAGTATAGGTCTATTTATTGTATAGGTCTATTTATTATACATTTTTTGATCAAATCGGTGTGTGAAGCTGCGAAGTTATAAAATGTTGATTCGGGAGAGTTGAATATCCGAGATAGTTGAGTTATTGAATGTTATTGCACCCAACAACCACATAATTACGCTCTTCTTTACGCGTTAACATATTTTTTCGGTAAGTTTATTAATATTAGAGATTGTCAAAACACAACGCCCAGTTCGAGTTCTTTTTCACTTAATTTTTACTAGCCGAAACAGCGTTATATCACGCAAACCTCGTACCTAAACGTTTTATAGTTTCAAAAACTGCATTAGCAAAAAACTAAAATACTTAAATATTATGACAAGGCCACGATTTTCTTCCACGATATTATTTCTATACGATCAACATGAACTGTAACAGGGATGGCGTAAAATACATAGCGAAAATTTCTGATTTCTGCCGTATACAGCGTGGGGACGGAATTTTTTGAAATCAACTGAAATGCACCAAGGCTATAGCAACTCACTTGACCCAGCGTATAGTGCATAAATCTTCTCTATAAACAAGAGGTTTCAGAATGATGAACAGATCGTTTTAATATGCAAAACTTCTACTTCGTCTCATTATTTCTATAGTCGTCTAATGTCATGTGCGCACACATTATCCCTGATAGATGGATCTGTTTACTCCCGTTTTCGTTGCTTGTTCCTGCTCTTTCCTCTGTTTCGCCGTTTTGGCTACGGACTCTATCGCATAGAGAAAGATAATATAACTATTTCGAATAAGGTATAAATAGTAGGAATATATAGTGGAGGGACCACTATATTTTTCTGGTGGAGTTGGAGAAAATACATCGAAAGAGATTTATTATGACGATAAAAACGGATCAGGAGACTTGATTTATGTGTTTGCGTTGGTTAAAATATTTTTTGTTTTGATTTACTGTGTTTAACAGAAAATTTAGTGCTTCTTGAACGCCGAAATTCGTAATGTTACATCAAGCATAGTATTAATTAACTATTTAACATAATTCTACTATACAAAAAATTGTGGAAACTATATACCAATTAAAATCGTCAGGAAATTCAAAGTTTCTTGTTTTTCAAATTAATATTTTTTTTTAGAAAATATGCGATAATTGTTTTGAGTAGTTTATTTTAATTAAAAGAAAATATGTAAAAGTGGGCAACGCTGTGCCGGTCAATCTTAATGACGTGATTAAAAGTTTAATTGGTATGAACATATAAGGGTTGTTTCATTAATGTCGGAATATAGTACACGTATCACCGATACTCAAAGTTCTTTAATTTTGACAGTGACTCACTCACCCATCATAAAAAAGCCCAAGTTACTTTTAGTGAGTCTCACAAACAGATAGATATAAGAGAATAATCCATTATATCGATTACAAAGTAAGTATAAACCTTTTAATAAGAAGACCAAGAAAGGAGCATATCAAAAATCTTAGGTCCACCGCGATGGGACTCAAATATGGCCGACTTAAATTCCGGTTTATCAGTGCCGTTCTAATTTTATTTAAAAAATGTAAAACTATGATGTAGGGTAGACGTGGGGTAGACTCATTAATTTTTTTTATTTTACGTTGTGAATAAATGTTGGTAGTTATTAAATTGTTATAAAAACATATTATTATAATAAAAATAGATAATATATATAAATATTTATTAACACAAACATCTGATACGCTACTGAAGCAGGTAAGTCAAATTGACGTATCTAAATTCTTTGACCTAATCTTTGACAAGTAGTAAATAAAAGCAAAAATGCAAGAAAAAATATATAGTTAGTTAATTTACGTGAATTTCATAAATGATCGGTTTACTACACGTATGTATATTATATAGTCACTTACTAGCGAAAAGTTGTTCCATTATTTCACTCGATTTTTGCCGAGATCTACCGCACGCTACACAACCAACTATTTTAGAGTCTTTTTCGATAAATCGCGATAGTGTCACTGTTAATTTAAGTTCTGCCACAATTTCCATCTAGATTTACTACCTTTATACAACTATCAGTAGTAGAATAAATAATAAATAACATAAAATAAGTTCCGTAAAGACTGACAAATCCACAAAATTTCAAATCAAATTCAAATGTGTCAAATGAATCGTCAAACAGAACTGTCAAGGATCCCCACCCTAGAGTGCTTTTTCCGCCCACCATGCATGAATACATGGATACCATTATGCTCTTTCCTTAGTCTTCTTATTCAAAGGTCTAAACAGTGCACATAAAAATACAATATTTTAATTAGATTGTGTGATATATTGCTGATCAATTTTAAAAAATAAGTTAATAATAAATAAAAAATGGTAAGACTTACTTTAATGAAACTGGTATTGATCATACTGATCTCCTGATTGGCCTGGAACTTTCCCATGTCCCTCAGAACCTCCCTGACAGCCATCTGATCGATGTCAACTATTCTAAACGCTGTCATGTTGACGAAATTGTACTTGAAGTCCTCCAAGTCGAAAGTTTCTATATCGAAGGAAGTGAATACGTAGTGGTATTTGTAATCGTTCATTTGCAATTGCAATATCTGGAAAAATGTGTCGAAAAGATCTTGAATTAATGACATTTAATATATCTTTATAAATATTGAAGTTTATAATTTTGTTATTTAATGAAGAAAAAGTTATTTTTATACCAGACGATAAAATGGTATTAATTGGTAAACAATATTTTTTCCATAGCGAGTTACGTTTTAAAAAATATTCAGAAATTATTATTTGAAGGAATTTATTAAGAGTAGAAAAAATATTGTGCTGGATTGGTGTTGGTTTCTATGTAATTTGACAAATAAATAAAGCTGTCTCTTTAGTTGTCAGTTTTGAGTCAATATTTTTTAATTCTCTCTCGTGTCGATTGCTGGTTGAACTGGAGCCAGAAATGGCTCAAAACGAAATAAGTAAATTACCAACAGATATTCAGGTTGAGGCGACAAACGCCATATCCAAACTAATTCCATTTAAATCCCGAACAACTTATGAAAAGGAATACAAAAAAACGTGCGAGAAGAAATAAAGTTTTTAACCTATCCTCGCTGTTAAAGTATCATTTAATCTACTTTTGCGGTTAAAATACTATTTTATCTACTATTTTTGATAGATATAAGGCCATTTTTACAGTTGCTATGGAAAAAATACACATATTTTTGAGAAACTAATGTTTTTGAGCGATTAGTCATGGATGATTACTTCCACGAAACACCTCCCATCACAGCATGTGTAGAATAAAAAGATTATAAGCTGAGAAAAATGGCTGTGAGACAACGGTTGCATATAAAATACACTCACCGACACGAACAACGGGCATACATAACATATATTTTGTTCCAGTGGGCCGATTTTGATGATTTTTCAAGCAATATGTAGCTAAATGATTTGACTTTTTAGTATCTCTTTCTAAATTAAAAATTAAAGTTTCTACCAATGTCAATTATACGAGGGAAAACAAAATGTTGATATTTTGGTGTAAGTTTGAAACATCCTGTGAAGTACCTATGTTAAGACAGCAAGGAATTTAAGGGGAATTTAAGGAGTTTAGCGTTATTTTTTTTTTCTGTTTTATAGATATGGGTACTTTTAAAATTATTCCATCTACGTAGTTTTCGAGATCCCAATGAAGTGATAAGAATTTAAGACACTCTGTACAGGGTGGCTCGAATTCGACGCTTATCTTTGGGATTTCGGAAACCGTAAGAGATACCGGATCGGTTAAATGGAGGCAAAGTTGCTCAATTTGATGCTCAATAAAATGCCGTATTGCATTTTGAAAAATTCCGAATATATTCGAAAAAAAACGGAATTTTCAATTTTGTTTTATATTGTTTCCTGGCTTTATTTGTATATATATATATATATATATATTATATAGTATATTATTTATAACTTAAAATAAAAAACACATTTTCATGGCTACTTTTTCTGTTCTATAACTTCTTCTTCTTCCTTTTTCATACTAGGCGAATCGCCTGTTTGGTTTCGTCGTCTCTACCGGTTAGACTGACAAGTTGTCGCTCCATCGTTTTCGTGGACGTCCTAAGCTTCTGCGACCTAGCGGTGATTTGTCGCGTGCCAACCAAACCAAACCAAACTCTTACTATCCTTCTGTTGTCCATTCTGCTGATATGCTCGTTCCATTCTTCCTTTCTGCTGAGTACCCACTCATTTACATTTTCCACCTTGCACGCTCTTCTTATGCTTTCATTTCTCTCCCTGTCCAGAAGCGTCTTTCCAGCTATTCTGCGTAGTACTTTCATTTCGGTTGTTTCTAATAGTTGTTTAGTTTTCGCTGTATCAGGTCGAGTTTCTGCAGTGTATGTCATTATTAGTCGTACCGTTGCCTTGTAAATTCTCGCTTTAGTCTCCAACTCAATGTTTTTATTTCGCCATATTGTATCATTCAGGCATCCTGCTATTCTGGTTGCCTTCGTTGTCCGTTCTCGCACCTCCGCTTCTACATCACCATATCCTGAGATTTCTATGCCTAGATACTTAAACTTCATCTCTTGCTGAATAACATTGCCCTCGACTTCCAGTTTGCATCTTAGTGGTACTTTTAATGTCGTCATGCATTTAGTTTTCTGAGTCGATATTATCATAATAAGTGATTTGGCAGTGCAATTAAATCGATGTAATAAGCGCTGTAGATCGTTCTCATTTTCAGCTACCAATACGGCGTCGTCGGCATAGTATAGAATAGTAAATTCCTGGTCGCCCATACTGTATCCCTTCAGTAAACGTACATTTCCTACTACTTCGTCCATAATGATATTGAAAAGAAGAGGGCTCAGGGAGTCACCTTGTCGGATACCACAGCCTGCATTTATTGGTTTGGTCAGGACCCCGTTAATTTTAGCTTGAATTTGGTTCGCTTCATATATGTTTTGTATGGTTTTAACGAGGTTGTGTGGGATTTGCCTATTGTAAAGAAGATGTACAACGTCTCTTAGCTGCACACGGTCGAACGCTTTTTCTAAATCAATAAAACACATATACGCTGGTTTGTTATATTCGATTGATTTTTCTGTTATCTGTCTTATGACAAAAACCGCGTCTGTGCATGATCTGCCCGATCTGAAACCTTGCTGTTCATCTGCTAAGCATGTTAAGTCGTTTATTTTGGTTGTTATCACTTTTGTCGTAAGTTTTAGTGTGGTGCTTAGAAGATTTATGCCTCTATAGTTTGAGGGCAGCTTCTTATCTCCTCTTTTAAACATCAAGATAGTGGTGCTGGTTCGCCATTCATCGGGTATCCTGTGTTGGTAAAGAATTTTTTGAATCAGGGATGTTAGCTGCTGTATGAGACTTTGGCCGCCATATTTAAGTAATTCGTTTGGGATATCATCGTGCCCTGGGCTCTTCCTATTCTTTAGCTTTCGAAGGGATGTAATTATATCTCTATAACTCTGTGTGATTAAATATTGACTTTGACGTTTTGGCTTCTGGCGACCATCATCAACTTAATTTTTTTAAATACGGACCTGATTTTTTTTCAATTTAATTAAATCCTTTCATCACTCTTAAAACGCTATATATAGTCACTTTGATATTTGCCGACATTTCGTACAGAAAATTCCATTACCAGAATATTTTATGCAAAAAACAAATTTTATGCAAAAAACAAAAAAAAACAACAAAAAATGCAATACGGCATTTTATTGAGCATCAAATTGCGCAACTTTGCCTCCATTTAACCGATCATGTATCTCTTACGGTTTCCGTAATTTCAATGATGAGCGTCGAATTTGAGCCACCCTGTACACGAACTTTCTTGCCCTTGGTTACAATATACGGCTAAGACTTGCTAAGACACTCTTTTTAAGTCTTTTTCCGATGTTCCGATAACCAAATGCCACTTTCTATGGCTTTTCACTGTGCTATCGAGTGTTCCTTTGTAAATTTGAGCCTTTTCAGCCTTTAAGTATCGGTTTTATGGCTCTAAACTTCCTCTAAATCGGTTGTAGTACGTGTTTAGTAATAAAGTCACTGCCTTTTTATTTTTCTTTGAAAAAAGATCTAATGAACCTATTTTTATTGTTATTGTGTAGATTTTGTTGGATATATGTAAATAGACATAAAAAAAAAGAAAGCAAAAATAGAAATAAAAAGAAAATATTAAAATGATTGTGAAAACATAAAATTGACTAGTATAATACTAATGGTTGGTTGGTTGAACTGGCGACTGCGACTTTGTGGAACTTTAATCAAAATTCCCATTTTGATATCACTCACTATGAAACCCCTGATTATATCATCACTATCAACCAACTATAATATGAATATTCGAAAAAAAAATTCCAAAACTTTAAAAAAATTGATAATATACAACGATTTTGAATAATTATCACTTTTTAAGTAACACATTTTGAGCCATACAAAATTACCGAACTTTGAACAAAAAATGTGATACAAAATTCAACGCGACTGTGAATTTTTTTTTCTGAAACGACCAGACCTTTAAATGTTCGAATTAAAGAACATAAAGATTATTAAAAAAGAGATTTTTGCAAAAAAAATGTCAGCATTCATGGAACACAGACTATAAAGTAGACTTGAACCAGTGCAACATCTTAATGAAAGAATCGATAGCCTCTAAACCTAAAATATAAATAAATGTTGTGCTGAAGCATCTGTAAATATTAGAAAAGTATGTCTATCACTTCTTGGATAACTTTTTCAACACCAAATAACATTCATATATCGACATTTTAAGCTTACTGGTCACTTCATTAAACAACTGTCATCAGACACTGCAATTTTGGACTTACCCCTTTAAGAAACAACTGCATATTAGACGGTCTGGTGTCTATAACAATGTTGTGAATCTCCTTGCTCTTGATTTCTTTCAAGACCACCCTGTACGTATCCGGGTCCGCCTGTCGCAGATGAATTTCCAGATCTTTGTTGTGTGGCGACCTTACCAGTTCTCTCAGCTTGATCAGTCCTGTAAAAACAATTCAGCAACGATAATAATCAGAGTTGGTTTCTTTAGGTTATTTCCTGTTAAAGTTTGGTTACCCTGTATAAATAAATACCAACCGTAGTCTTCCTCGTATATAATGGCCACTTTAGTCCAATTCAAGAAGCTCATAACGTCTTCAAAGGCGGAATTGAGTAGGTTTTGAGCAGGATACAAGTTGATAGAGAACTCTTTGACGTCTGTTTCAAGGTCGATTCTGGTTTCAAGATGAGGGATGTCCAGGGCATCGCAGATCGAGTGGATGTGTGAGCCCAGCAGGGGGTCTGAGGGGCCGAAAACTGCGTAGACTCCGTTTTGGACTTGTCGACAAGCTGTAAAAAGAAACACTAAACTCTAAAAACATGCTTAGGAGTCTATTACGCTGTACTTTAGGATCGCTCAGGGGTCGGGTAAAACGGGTGTGTGGCCGAAGGAAATATCCCAAGCAGCATTTGGACGTCGGGACAACGTTGTGTCACGCGACCAACTGCACTAGTTTGGAGAAGAATAATTTTTGGGTCGAAACGACTTTGGATACCGACGTTGGCTAGCAGCCTAATTTAGTACAAACTGCAACGTTGTTTAAAATCCTAATTCACAGAAATACAAAACTATAATAATATGGCGTCTAAGTCTAAATTGGGATAATTATAGTAAAAATATTATTTTTATGATTTGGTTAGAGACATATGCCAGATGGCAGTAAAGGAAAACAAAACAAAAGATATTGAAATTAATAACTCTATCAAATCTATCCTTGATTAAGCTAAAATGTTTTACAAGACTTCCCTGTATTACCCTAATTACCTTTAAATTACCCTAGCTTTATTAACCTTCATCGACATCAAAAACACCCGAGTAAAAAGTGACACGAGGCAAACGATATAGGATTAAAAAACGGGTTGATTAAGCGGTCCCTGATTTATCGCTACTATTTTCACATTAGCCCTGCTGATTCCTGTCGGATGAAAGTCCGAAAAAAACATGGGCAAAGGAGGTTATCAGCTAAATATGGCAAGTTATCTTTTTTAAATCGACGGAGGTTAATAAATGGATCTGGGGAATGATGTATGAATGGAGAATGACCTATTTTGATATTATTTAATGGAAAATAAAATAATAAACATAAATATGTATGTAATATTGACATTACTGACTTTTAAAAAAATTGAAAAATTAAATTATCTACATTTCATCCCTCTTCCATTTCACTTAGTTCCCTCACTCGGTTTTTCTTATTTCTCGCCTCATTTAATTAAGCAAAATATTCTTGTACTATCTTTATTAAATACTTGTCTAACATCAACAAAAATAAATAAGAAGATTAACAATAGTAATTAAAGATTTTAATACGAGTACATTCATTTTTGTCTGGTAAAAATGCTAGACTTCTTTGGCTTAAAACCTACATTCTAGCGTTTTAAAAAAGCGACGAGTTTGTGATATTTTGATATGTCAGTCTTTTCCCTTAATTCTAGCATTGTCCGTATCATGCTGTACGTAGCCCAAAGAGTAGATGGCTGTTTCTGCCTTGCCATGTCGCTAAAATATGTCATCAAGACTGTCTCCGAAGCAATATTCTTAGTATTTCTTTCGGCACACCCAGAGAGAACATTAATAACTAAAGTGCTAGAGACCGATCAACGTTAATTTTTGAAGACTAAGTTAGTGGCGCGGCCTTTGGCGTCTAACCCGAACTATGAGCGCATTATCGATATAGTAGGTTGCATTCATACCTATATACTGGCGCCAAAAATTTAAAATTTGTGTATTAGGAACCGAATCATAATCTTTCAAGTTTATAATAAGAAATCTTCGTAGATTTTTTAGATTATTTTGTTGTCAACGAAAATTTATTATTATACTTTAAAGCATTAAAACCTATAAATAAAATACTGTGTAGGAACATAATAATTTATTTAACTTAGTTTGGTTTCCAGTTTTTGCAGAATTCATTTACCAGGTGAGCATCCGCAAAAAATATTTTTTAAAATTACTCCTTTACTCAGTGTTTCTTTACCTTTTTTGCTTGCGTGAAAACTGTCATCTGCTGGCACATATTGGATGTCGTACACTAACGAAGTGCGTGGTAATAGAGTCTTGTCTCTGTTTATTTTGTACACTGCGTATCTAAAAGCTACCTCAGCTGCACTACCTTTCTGGTTTTCAGTGAAGATTGCACCTGAAAAATAGAAATGAAGACTATTTGATTTTTTTAGATTTTTATTTCATAGGATATAATAACCACAACCTATTTCCGAAATCAATTATGAAAAAGAGTGTTTTTTTACGATACTAGTATAAAATACACTTTTTATTTAGGTAGCTCTTCTGAAAAAAATGTCCAGTTGTTACATTTATTTATTTATTTCCTGACATTGTCATTCGTTTTGATACTTTAGTTGTGTATTATGGGTTTTTCGTTAAAATGAATTGTGTTGTCATACTTTAAGCTTAAATATTTTTACTAGCAGACTTTGCAGTCAAACATTGTTCTTTTTAGAACCTCTTTTAAAGTGTACAGGGTGGGTCAAATTCGACGCTTTTCAATGGAAACAACCTTTTCTGTAGGAGATGGACGAAAACTAATATCGGTGTCTGGAGCTCAATTTTTATCAAAAACATGATGGTGAAAACCGCACATCAATATCTGTTACCGTTTCGAAGTTACGGGGTGTTTTTCAAAAATGTGCATTTTAACAAATCGCTGTAACTTTTTTGCTATGGAAAATTTTGTATTTGTATGAAAACATTTCCAAAGCACGTTTTTACGTAGAATTTAATGGTTTAAGTATAATTTTTTTAAAATTAATAATTTAAGAGAAAATTTGATTTTTTATATGTGACACCCTCTATTTTTTTAATTAACTGAAAAGAATTTAAAATTACCTTTCCAAAAATATAGCACATTTGATATTTTGTTATAATCCCCTTCGAAATACAGAATTTTTAAAAGTTTGCCACTTTTAACTAGTAGGCTTTGGACCCCTTATTGATGATATGCCCTTAATGGAACTCGAAAACATATTTTTCCAGCAAGACGACGCACCGCCTCTGAACGCTGAAGTTATCAGCAAATTTTTGCAGCCAATTTCAAGAATAATTGAATAGCTAACCAAGATCCCAGCGGTTGGCCGTCGAGGCCGCCTGACTTAGTGCCCATGGATCTAATCCTATGGATATTTTGCGGAAGCATAAAGGTTCCTTATTCTTGCGTATAATCTAGACAAGAATTAGAAATACTTAGCAGTTATGTGAGGGTATCTTTCACCCCTACTGAGTTAATGAATTCCGCGAGAAATGTTCAAAAACTGCCCCGTCTGTCCATAACAGAAGACGGTCGATATGTCGAACACCTGTAGCAAAATCTCATATCTTGGTTTGCTATTTATTTTTATTGTTATTAGATATAGTTTAAATGTGTTGATGTTGGTTAAAAATATTTTAAATTGTTATAAAATTCTGCATCTCTCATAGCAAATATTATTTTCGTTTTAATTGATGCTCACAGCTAGATTTTTTATGCATTACAGCCGGTGCCGTTCAAAGCCTACTTATTTAAAGCGGGCGAATTTTTATATACTCTATATCTCGAAGAGGAATCGAGGAAAATATCAAGTGTGTTATATTTTTGGAAAGGTAATTTTAAATTCTTTTCAATAGATTAAAAATATACAGGGTGTCCCATATAAAAAATCAAATTTTCTGTTGATAATTCTTAAATTATTAATTTTAAAAAAATTATACTTTACTTTATTATACTTAAAAAAAAATTAAATTCTACGTAAAAAGGTGCTTTGGAAATGTTTTCATAAAAATACAAAATTTTCTATAGCAAAAAAGTTACAGCGATTTGTTAAAAATGCATATTTGTGAAAAACACCCCGTAACTCCGAAACGGTAACAGATATCGATATGCGGTTTTCACCATCATGTTTTTGACAAAAATTGAGCTCCAGACACCGATATTAGTTTTTGTCTATCTCCTATAGAAAAGGATGTTTCCATTTAAAAGCGTCGAATTTGACCCACCCTGTACAAGATAGCTTAATAGCCGTAAAAAACTCATCGCAACTTTATTAGAATATTTTGAACGGCAAAGCGGTAGTAATGGCCCTTAATGTCCCTTAAGTGTTGTTAAAAAGGTTTTTTTTTGATTATTATTATTTATTTTTGTTATTATTTATTTTTGTATCCTAAAATATTTTGATTAAAAGAAAATATGTAAAATAACTATATATATATATATATATGTAAAATATATCGGCATTAAATTGAGAAATAAAGTGGCTACACCCTCCTTTATAAATATGTAGAACAAGGTAGCGAAAACTTGAGGTAAACGCGCAACAGGTAGCACTAGAATAATATCAGTTTCCGACAGTTTAGGCCCTTTTAAATTATTAATTTTATGCAAATACAAATGGCTGATGCCTCCAGTGAGCGTCTCTCATAAATATTCATCACTTGAGGCGGAGATCTTTGTTTAGTTCCTAACAGCCTTGGAAATGCCATGGAAAGATTATTAAAAACCCCGAAAGGGGAGCCATGTAGGTTTACCTTCCTCCTATACAGGCCGAATGTTAAATGAGTACAAATATTTTTTATCTATGTAGGTATTTCTTGCGATTTTTTTAAAGTATTTCGAATTTTTTGAATAAACTCCGGAAATTTTTTAAATTTGAAAAAACTTTATTCAAATAAGTGGCAACCTCGCATTTTTTTACATCTCGTTTGTATATCTCAGGTACTTGTTGTCATATCTTAAAAAAACGACAAAGATTACTTATTAAACGCTGGCAAAATCTAGTTTACAAAATTAGCAGCATCGTCAAAATTTTGTCTTGCAAAGTGCCTCGAACTTTAATCGACGCCCAAGCAAGTTTTATCAAGTTTTAATCAAGTTTTAATCAGGTTGCCCGTGAGATTACGGAGTCTTCAAACTTTGTCGCTCGTGGAAAGACAAGACAGAGGCTACTGCGATGTTCAATCTTATTTGTAATTATGAGGTATAATGAGATGCTTTTCATCTATTTAAATAAATGCCTTTATTGTCAAAAATTTTTTCAATTTGTAGACAAAGGTAAACATAACAAACAAAGTAAACAACAAGGTACACAAACAAACAAAAGATAATATAAAACATTATAGAAATAATATTGTCTTATTGTTTAATATAAACATTTATAAATGTTTATAATGTCAAAGAACAAAAAAATAAAAATAATATTCAAAAATATTTAGTTAGTTTATAGTAAATATAAATATCAATGACCTCTAAATAAATTTATTTCGATGTCATCAGTAAATATAGCAATAGCAAACATTAGACCAGTGTTTACAAGATCAAATTCGATTTTCAAAATATAATTCATTTACGGCGTAGAAAGCTTTGTCTAGTAAATAAGATTTCAATGCTGTGCGAAATGAAGAAAATGATGTTATGGATTTGATTTCAAATGGCAGGTGATTGTGCATTTTTTTCGAGTTGTATAATATTGAACTTTTAACTAACTCTGAGCGTGGGGTAGGTAGATAAAGATCTTGCTCCGCGTTCCTGAGTGGATAAGTGTGAGATGGCCTTTCTTGAGAAGCTGATACATGCTTACGTGTATTAGGCAAACTGATTCAAATATAAATAAGGAAGGAAGAGTCAATATTTTTAATTTTTTAAAAAAGTCCTGGCAATGAGTTCTGCTGTTTAGTCCCAGTGAATATCGAACAGCTCTCTTCTGGAGCTTGAAAATGCGGTCAAATTGAGTCGCACAACACGTACCCCAGAATGGAAGGGCATACCTGAGGTGCGACTCAAAAACTGCATAATAAACAGTTCTAGCCACTGACAAGTTAAACTCCTTAGAAACAGATCTTAATGCAAAACAGGCAGAGCTTAATTTTTTCGACAAAGCTTCGATATGCATGTCCCATTTCAGAGAATTGTCTACAACAAGCCCTAAGAATTTTACAGATTTTACGACGTCAATGGTTGTGTTGCTAAGTACAAAAGGCTGCAGCGAGTTTTTATACGCTTTAGTTTTAGAAATGTTGAGACTCAGGAGGTTCGAATCGCACCATGATTTAATGGTGATTAAGTCATTTGATATAATCCTATGAAGTGCCGTGACGTTCTTGTTGCTCCAAGTGAAGCTAGTGTCGTCCGGAAGAAAACATACTTTGCCACTGATGTTTATGTTAGCAATGTCGTTAATAAAAAGAAGAAACAAAATAGGGCCTAGTACTGAGCCTTGTGGTACTCCACATTCTATTGGCTTGCTAGAAGACAACGTGGTATCCACTCTCACAAGCTGACTTTTGTTGCTCAGATACGACTTAAACCATTCGAGAGATGTTCCCTGAACCCCTAGTGCTGCAGTTTATTAATTAGGATCTTATGATTTACACAATCGAACGCTTTAGAAAAATCACAGAAAATTGTTGCTGTAGAATGATGGCTATTTAGGCTGGAGTAAACTTAATTAAGGAGGGAAAACATAGCGTTATTTGTGGACTTTTTGCTTATAAATCCAAATTGATATTCAGTAAGTATTTTGTACTTAAACAGAAAAGATACCAGCCTTGTTTTAACCAACCGTTCTATGATCTTAGATAGCGTTGGAAGGAGTGCAATTGGGCGATAGTTAGAAGCTTCATCTTTGTCTCCTCCTTTATGTAGAGGAATGATTATTGCCGTCTTAAGACATTTTGGAAAAATACCATTTTGGAATGACATGTTTATTAAAGTAGTTAGGTGATTCAGAGTGCTTTCTGGTAGATTCGAAAACATTTTTAAAGTTAGTCCGTCGGTCCCAGATGAGGATTTATTTTTGATGGTATTAACTGTACTGCGAAGCTCTTCTAAAACTACGGGCGAAAAAAAGAAACTGTGTAAGTTTACATTATCATTAGAGAGATATGAAAGTGGATCATGAGAAGGACATATGGTATTAGTTAAGTTTTTTGCTACATTTCCAGAGTAATCGTTAAGGTTCTCAGGTGAGGTAGAGATATTGCTATGAAATATTTTGGAGCAATGCCAGAATTTTAATGAAAGACGTCATAGATGTTAAATGAAAAATTGAAAACTATTTCTAATTCAATAGAATATAGAGAAAAGCATTTACAGATGTTAATAATTTATAGTTATTGTTACTTTTAATGTGTCTACATAAATCTAAATAACTAAACCTAAATAAATACTGGTTTGCTAGTGTGTAAATGAAATAACATCTTACCTATTCTAACCACAGATTGCAAAGAGAGAGTGACACTGGTGGAGACCCATAGAAACACTAACACTCTGAAGAATGTACTCCAGGTGTCCCAAACTGGCATTTTTCATGTCGACGGAATACCTCCTTTCATTTTTTTCATGTTCACACCTTGCTTCATAATATCTTCAAGTGACTAAAGCTGCTTCTTTGTTCAATGTAGCAAAACTTCACTCTGAAAAAAAAACAATATGCCATGGGTATATTGATAAATGAGGTCTAAATTATATAGGAAAACTGAAAGATATACCGTGCTGGCAACTGTTACTTTTGGGTCGGCATTTACATATGTGGAAGTAAATCGCATAGGGATCTTATTAAGTCGGAGTAAGAGAAATGCGACCGACTGACGCGACGCGGGACGGTGTGCTGTTGCGGCGTTGCCGATACGCCTTTCCCTATCAAATAAAGTAAAATCACGATCGCAAACCGCTTATTTTTAAAAGACTTTTTTTTCAAGAGATAACTAGATAAAATCATTAGACGTTTAGATGTTTCTGAGCATCTGAAATGGAATTATAAGGATATCGTTAGGGTGTAATTTTTTTTATAACGAGAAAACATCAGTAATCGCGATAATTTAAAAACTTTTTAACACATAACAGGCCATAACTCAAGAACCACTTTAGATATTGAAACTTTTTTTTATTTTCAAGATCGGATATTTTACAATATGTTTACATAAGAAAAAATCGATAAGGTTGTTTTTTCCATTCAAAAATTGTAAACAATCCATCCATTTACTTTTAGAGCGTAGCAATTTTCAGCAATCGTGTAATTTTTTTATTGATAAAGATTTTCACATACTGTCTACAAAGAAAATACAGCAGAAATATTAACAAAGTTCTTGAAAAAAAATACAATCTATTATTTCTAATAGATTTCGAGATATCGATTTTTGAATTCAGAGTTCTAATAGCGCGACCGCTATCGAACACCCACTCTTTCTTTCTTTTTTTTTTTTTTTGTTTCTATTATGGTTGCCCATATAGGTAGGCTATCGCCTGTTCAATCCTAACAAGTCTTCCCCGGAGGACGACGTCCAGCATTCTCTCCACCGTTTTGGCGGCCTTCCTTGCGACCTTTTTCCAATTGGGTTGTTTTGTTGCGCTTTTTTTTGCTAGTCTGTTGTCGTCCATCCACTCAATTCCACTTCGAACGACGGGTGTTGTCAAACACCCACTCAATTCCACTTATTTTTACCAAAAATACAAGTGTTTCTAGCTTGCACTTAAAAAAAATCAAGCTATAGGGAAAATTACAACGACTCGTTAATAAATAAACAAATCAAGTATCACGAGACGTAATTAAATCGTGAAGCTGAACGCATGATGTACACCTTTCCCTAGAACTTTAAGTACTGACAGAGGTATTGATTGGGTCGACCGGTCAACTGCGACAAATCTGCTAATTCCCCTTCCACGTCTCTTAGCGATGTGCACAGTTTCTCGGTTTATTTCATACGTTTGGCAACGTGTTTACTGTCCTCTCTTTGTTCAGTACATTATAAACGCATTGTACTCTTCTTACATACGGAAATCTTGACCCAAGACTAACCTTTGCCAGCCCTTAGTAGTTAAAAAATCGTATAATACAGTTTCATTCACGTGATTCCAAATATACAGGGTGTTCCATTTAAATTAAACAAGTTACTCTCGTTTAAAACTAGTAATTATTTAATATAAATTTTTAGACACTCTGTAATTTAGTATAGGTATTATTATTTTTATTATTGCAGCACAAAATTTAGGAAATAGAAAAACATGAGTACAATATTTGGTTTTAAAAACTTAAATACGCCTCGAGAAATAAAGCATTAAAATTATTACTGCATTTTCACAAAATCGTAAATAAGATTAAAGTGCGGTAAACCTTAATCAAATTTACCTTTATTTTAATCGTAGAAACTAAAAATGTAATAATATACGGGGTGTTCCATTTTTTTCCCAACAAGGGACCGTCCTCCACCGGAAACACTGCGACCTGTGAGACCTATTGTGTTTGTCCCCTTTCTATATCTGCACCCATTCTCCTATCCCTGTGCCCTGCACTAACTTATGCAGGTCCTTGATAGGATGGGAGCATAGTTCTTCCGGTTCTAGCCTAGCTTTCCCAAATAAAAAGTGTCGTTTGCGATCCAGAGCCTCGTAGTGACATATGTGCTCTGCTGTTTCGGGATCTTTATCGCAGAGTCTGCCGCAAAGACTTCCTTGATACAGGTTGAGCTTGTTCAGGTAACATTTGACAGCCATGTGGCCTGTCAAGAGGCTTGTTGTAATCAGCACTTTATTCCTGCTAATCATTAGCAGCTCTTTTGCGGTTTTAGAGCTAGGTCCTTGGATAAAAGCCTTGCTGTGCCTGTACCCCTGTCTGTTTCTCCAGTGGACATTCTGATTTTCCCTGATCCAGAGTTTTTCAGTACTGGCTCTGGACCAAGATAGGATGCCGATGATCCTTGCCTAGCTAGCTCATCGGCTTTTTCGTTGCCTTGGATGCCGTTGTGGCCCGGTACCCAGAATAATTTAATTCTGTTCCTTCGAGCCAGAGCTCCCAGTTCACCTAGACATTCCTAGACGAGTCTCGACGATACCTTTGGGCTCATAAGAGCCCCAAGTGCCGCCTGACTGTCTGAGCATATATTGATGAGCTTACCTGAATAAACTCTTCTATTGTTTTCTCTCGTACATTGTAGAATGGCGAAGATTTCTGTCTGGAATACGGTTGAGTGTTTACCCAAGGAAAAGGATAAACTTACTCTTGGTCTTTCCCCAAATACTCCAGCTCCTGGTTCCTTCAGCGGTCTTTGACCCGTCTGTATACCAGGTTAGTCCATCCTGAAGGAATGTTATATCTGTCCACATTCCTCGATCCATTTTGTTCACCTCGAATGGTTTGTGGTAGTGATAAAGAGAGGTCATTTGGTCCGATCTCATTTGGAGTAGAGGTCCCTCGATAGAATTTCCCATCTTTGAGTGTCCTGTTTCTGTCCTAGTTCCCAGAGACAAGACACTTTGTTGTCGATAGAGTCCCATTCTTGCCTGGATCCGGGGTGTTCCATTTAAAAAATACAACTTTGATATTTTTTATTTATTTGAGACACTCTTTTGAAAATAATTTTAAATTGTAGCTTTCGTAGTCCTCCAACGATCCTATCACTTACCCTTTCTAAAAGTCTAATCGTGTAGCGAATAACCCTGTATAACGTTAAAACTAGTTAGTTTTCAAAACTATATATCTCAAGCTGTCTCATTTTTTTGACAGCAAAAATGTTGGAACGCTCTAGTCATTCTTTTAAGTTGAAATTTATACTAATCCACAGTTTTAACCTTGCAGTATACGCTTGCAAAGTGATTGTTTTGTGGCCTTCGTCGTATCCTGCCCCGGAAACTACGATACTTTGCCAAAATGTGGCAATGGCCACCGTTTTTGAGAAGAAATTTACTGCTCTGACCTCATTTCTAACTGTGTCTCGCCCTAAAACGGCTAGAACCACCTTGAAAATAGAGAAAATTATCGTCTAAAAGGAAATTTTTGTGTTAAATGAAATTACTACACTGAGAAGTCCCTTGATATGGTTATATCGAATTGCAAGACTCACTAGTCCGTGTAGATGTAGATTGTTATAGTGAGTTATTACTTATCATACAGTCTCACAGCCTCAGAGCACTGCCGTTCTTTAAAAGATCAGCCTAGGGGCGGACTTTTGTTTACTTCATCAGCTGTACATACTTAGATATTGGGTTAGATTCCGTTTCATATTTTGTCGGTTGATTTTTGGTTTTAACTCTTTGATTTTTGGTATTATTTATTATTGTAGTGCAAAAAACTAATTATTTTGGTGTTTAAGTGACAAAAACTACTACCGAGTCATGGTTCTCGATATATTTGGAATCGAAACTATCAATACCTGTCATCATTGACATACATTAAACATGTTGACCTCGATGTTGACTAAATAGTTATTAGACTGAAATCATAATTTTGAAATGTTTTTGTGCCAAAAGTTCATCAGAAACTGTTTTATCATCATTTTTTTGAAGAAAAATTTATGATTAATTTAAAAAAATAAGAAGTTCCCAAATTTATCATTTCATTCAAATATCTGTTTACTCAACATGTTTATTTTTTGTCAATATAATGACATATATTGACTATTTCTTTTAAGTTAAATTAAACCGTTTATTAACTAAAATATATACAACTGTTTAAAAACTATACAATTCAATCATATTGTTAATCTTTATCTTCGTGGCAGTTGTTGGTTGCGTCCTTCTTCATCTGCAACAGTTTGAAGACTTTCAAGACTCTCCCGGGGCAGGTGGTATCAAAGGCATTGTTCTTTTTTTATAAATTGGTCTATGTCGTCTACGTTTATACGCACTTCTCAAATATCATGTTTTTATTTTTTTTTCTTAAAATTTTTATAATTTAATTGTGTTAATTCTTTTGGTTGTGGTAGTTTCTGTTGTTAGTTTTTGTGAAAGTTTTTTTTTGAGTTCTCTTGGCTGTTCTGATGTCTGATTTTCTTCTAGTTTCGTAAGTGTGTATTTGTTTGTTAGTTTTTAGAGAAATATTTGTTTTTATTAATTTATTTTTGATTTTGTGTAGAAGTAATATATTATGATATTTTATTAATTGTCTTATGTTTAATTCTTTTGTTTTTTGGTATACTTCTTCTGTTGGTGTTGGTTTATCTAGGTTAAATAATATTTTTAGTTTTTTATTTTGTTGTCTTTGCAGCATGTTTAAGTTTTTTTCTGTTGTACTCCACGTATTAATTAATTTTTTTTCTAAAATTTCCATTCTAATAAATTCTAAATATCTTGAAAACGGTTACTCGTAGCGATTTTTACCAAGAAACATTTTTTACGTAAAAAATCACAAAAATGTATATTATACAGGTACAGACGAAAAGTTATTACTCTTCCAATAGTTAAAACACATGTAGGTGGCGCCCTCTACAAATAGGAGCATATTGACATCAAAATCAAATTTCTCATGTCAAAAAACTTCCAGACACCAATTTTCATCCAAATATTGACGTTACTTCAGAAACTATTGGGAAAAAATCTCGAAATAAAAATGAAACTTCTACACCCTGTATCTCCGAAACTAAGCATTTTAGGACATACATTTATACGAACTTTTTTACTTATTTTTATCTGCAGAATATGC